CCAGCGACTCCGCCCAGGCATTTAGACTGAGTTGTGCTTGCATTGTCGCTCGATTTATGGCGACGGACCCGGGCAGGGGTAGGGCCTCTAATGCGGAAACCCGTCTCGCGCCAGCTGGGTAATGCCCTCCTCAAAGGCATTACGTCGCATGCCTCGAAAGACATAATTCTCCCAGATTTGATCCATGTTCTTCCCAAAGCTGGGGAGTCCACCTGAAAAGGTGACCACGATGTCCTATCTGATACCTTTTCGAGGTTTGGTGCTTAAATTTGGCAGCCACCTTTGACCTGCTCGACTCTGACTTTGACCTTTACCTCGTATATCTCGTCAAGACGCGCTTTTTTTGCCTGCAAATTGTACCTGCACCTGTACAAGATCGTCAGCTTTCATGTGATGTGATGTGAGCTGAGTTTTGTGTGAATCTGTCGTGACCTTGTCCTCCTTATCTGCGCCACATACGTCACCTACGACGTTCAAAGGGGCGAGTTACGTCCGACCACCCCATGTTCTACCAAGAAGAGGCGCAGCAAAGTCATCAATGGACTGCCCGCTACATCGGTCAACTCTACCTTCACCGGTGGACTACTATATAGCCTGGAGAAGCTGCGAGTGCCTGCTCGCAAAATCTCGTCTACTTAAGTTCGAAAAAGTTCGAGGTAAACTTAACAGGCAAAAATTAAACCCTCACCTTTAGGTGAAGATTCTTGGATTAGTTGGTGATGCTAGCCTATCTGTGGCGCGCCAGATATTTGCCACTGTGAAATGATGTAGCACTTTAATAGGTCTTGCAGTCTTAAGCAATCAGCTGCCAGTTACAACTAAACATATTGTGATTGGAAGGCTCCTTCATCCACACTTAACAGACTACAGCACAGCGTGGGGTAGTTGCCCTCAAACGTAAAAACATGGGACCCAAAATACGTTCATTTCTGGCACCAGAATGATCAGTGAAACCAAGAAATTCGAACAAATATCTCCGACCCTGAAAACGCTCGGGTGGCTCAAAATTGACGAACTTTTGGTCGCGCGCGGCCTTCTAGCTCTCCACCACCTGCTAAGATCACTAACGGCGCCAGAGCGCCCACGTGCCCCCGTTTTCCCGCGCTGTGACATGTCTACCCGATCTACGCGAGGCTCTGAAAGTCTTTTATTGCAGACGCCGCGTGTCCGAACTGAACTCGCCCGCCGGTCATTCGTGTGCCCCTCGCACGGGGAGTCATCTACCCGCCGGTCATTCGTGTGTCGCTCACGCGGGGAGTCATCTACCCGCCGGTCATTCGTGTGTTGCTCGCACGGGGAGTCATCTACCCGCCGGTCATTCGTGTGCCCCTCGCACGGGGTGTCATCTACCGCCAGATATAGCGGCCCTTGCATCAGTGAGGCATTTCCGAGCAGGCGTGCTGGACTGGTTACAGCCTGATTGTACGAATGGTGCAGCCCAGATGCTTTCTCTACTAAAAAATGGCATGTTTGGACGTGAATTGCATACAAAAGTGATGAGTTCAGAGCTCAGGTCTAGGCTGCTCTAAGTCTAAGGCACCAACGCCAATGTGAATGGAATCTGAGCGATCATGGGTGCCGCGGGAGGCCAGCAAAGAGGCTTCCGTCAACAAGTAAAGGGTACCTAGAGCAAGCGGGAAGAATCCAAGACCAGTGAGGTGGTCCGTTGAACGATCAGTAGTGCCCCGGCAGGCTGGCATATAGGACTCTGGTCCGAGCACAGGGCACTATGAGCAAAGGATAATTACAGAAGACCAATCTAGCGAATTTATGTCCCTGTGCGACCAAGAATGCCCGGGCAGGTTAACAAAAGGGACCCGGTAGGAGCGAATGGTCCCCCGCAAACAAGATTAAGGGAAAGAGCTTTAGATCAAAGTAAAGGGCTCTGAGAATCACGTGGTTTGGTACCTTACCTTATATGAGCCCCAGCAACAACACGGCCCTCCGGGCAAGTGAAAATAACCCGACACCAATGTGAAGGGCCATTGAGCAATTGAGTGTAGCCTAGCATACGGGCCCGGAAAAAAGCATACAGAGCCTTTCGGGCGGTTAGGAAAAATCCATGGTGAAAATCCTGAACCAGAGCACAGGATCATCGGATCAAAGGAGAATAGCCCAAGACCAGCGTACATGAGTTAATCCCCTATACGATCAAGAGCGTCCGGACATGTTAACAGAAAGGGCCCTGATAAAAGCGAAGGGTTTTCTGCAAATGACCTCGGCCCCAGCAACAGCAATAGCCCTCCGAGCAGGTGGGGAGAATCCGATACCAATACGAAGGGCCCATGAGCAGCCGAGGGTACCCCAGTAAATTGGGCCCTTGCAATAGCGCACAGAGCCTTTCGGGCAAATGTGAAGAATCCGTGGAGCGCCCTTAATCGATTTGGAGTGCCCAGGCACGTTAGCAGATAGACGGGCCCTACTTTGATAGGACCCTGCATGCAAATCGGAAGCGCCCAAGACCCATTGTGCAGGGTCCCCGAGTAACCCAGTGTGCCTGAACAGATTGATAGATGGTCCCCCGACAAGCGCGCAGGGCGCTCCGAAAGAAGTTAGAAGTACTTAAGACCCCATATAGAGGGCCACGAACTGAGTGTGCCCGACCGGGCTATCAGATTGCCCTCGGCAGGAGCGTAGGGCCCTACATTCAAGTACCCAATGTGCAAGCCCCCCCCCCCCCCCCCCAACAATCCAGCGTGCTCGTTAACAGATTGGGCCCCGACAAGCGTCTTGGACCCTCCATTCAAATAGAACAATGGGAGAGAGAGGGAGCGGGCATTGAAAGGGCCCATAAGCATATCGCGAGTGTTTCGGTATGTTAACTGAGACCAGCGTGAAGGTCCCCTAAACAACCGAAAATATCCCGGCAGGTTCATGTTTGGGGACCGCCGGCTATAGCATACAGAGTCTTTCTGGCGAATGTGAAGCATCCCAGGAAGGCCCTTGAGTGACAAGAGCGCATCCGGCACGTACAAGAAAGGGCCCAGCAACAGCGCGGGGCCCTCCGAGCAAATGCAAAGGAATCGAGTGCAACGTGAAAGTCTTATTGACGACCGGATTGACCTTGTGTGCATATATGACATCCGGAAACATCATAGGGCCCCTGGACAGCGCTGATGAGCTTTAGGATATTCGAATCAACGCCCTCTCAATCAGCGAAAAATTAGTTTTGTCTACTTGTGGATTTTCACTTTCGTTTCCGGCTGTTCTTGTTCACCTGGAAGCCCAAGGACGTCCAATTTTGTTGCGCTTTGTGTTAAAATACTGCGTCTGTCCGACGGGCTTTGGCCTCCTTCGGAGCCTAGGGCCTCTTCGGGACCCAACGGGGGTGGGGGGATGACCCCGTGTCCCTCTTCCTGATCCGCCCCTGGGCAGGTACCATTTAACAAAAAAAAAAAATACTGCAAGCCCCATTTTACAGCGTTGCATTACCCTCTGAATCAACCCCTTCTTAATGAGACAACCTGCCCGAACCGTGGTAAATTGTGATCACGTTGTTCGGAATTTCGTGCTGATGTGTTTTTTCATCACAGAATAAGCTGCCTCACAAGGAGGCTGAATGTGTTACAACGTGTAGACCAAATGAGCTCGTCTGCACTTTTTACTTATAAGCCGTAATTGTTACATGACAAATTGTTTACACTCTTAATCACTCAGTGTTTTTTTTTCTTTCTTACAACTGCTGCCACCTCGCTTGCGACTACTGGGAAGAAAATTATGGTTTTTGCATTGGCGATGTGACTGTCGCATGTCATCATGATACAATTAAGTCATGACAATCATGTCAGCAATCATTTTCGCTAAGTCAGTCAATAACAAATTGCCGGTGCGTTGCACCAACAATACATGCCCCATGCAGAGATGATATACCCGACATCTTGGAAAGCAGTTCACGCCACCTGAAATCTTTGGTTAGCAGATGCCAAATGCTTTGCAGTATTTACGATGAATGTACTTGCCCACTAATCAGCCTGGCATTGAGCCTGATCTGGTTATGCCTTAGTCCCTTATAAGCAGATTTACGCCGATTGCTTCAGTAGTCAACGAAATGCAAGACAGGCTTGTCGCGCTCAGCCTAAGAGGTGTGCACGAATGTGGCCGGAGTTTTTTCAGTGCCTGGGAGCGCACTGAAAGGTAAAGTGAACTGTTGTGGGTCAGCTGAATGGCCCGAGACTATCATCCGTCACGTAGATTTGGTATTAACTAGCCTGATGCTACCTGGGCATCATACAACTCACCTCCCCCCCCCCCCCCCCCCTCCTCTCCTACACTGTTATGTGATGCGCTGATGAAACTGAACAGTGCTGATTGAGAACAAATCAAACTTAAATCAATTTATTTGGTCTTGACGTGGACTTTTCTTGATTAAGTCAAACCCTGTTTAGGAGCGCCGATGCTTTAGTTCGTGGGTTACTATGTCAATTTTGCACTAACCGATCAATTCATTTGCAACTCACCAAAATGACGTGACTCATAAATCATGAATCAACTGATCCCGAAACAAGCACTGGCCTGGTGAAGTGTTTACGATCCCGGACGCCACTGCTCAAAGTGGTTTATGTTGGAAAGGGGACGTGCCTTCGAGGTAAAACTGTCACTTTTTAAATTTTATTTTCAGTAGGGTGAGGGACTTCAGCTTCATTCCCGCTCCCTCCACCAGATTGGACTCAAGTCCCCGAATTTTGAGTAGAGAGTGGCTCATTCCAGGGAGAACCCTGCTTGTTGGCTATTTTGTGGTTCGTTCAGTCATTTTTGATCTGCTATTGCACAAAACTATGGTCCTGCCTTAGTGTCATCAGTTTGAGAACTGCTGGTGAAATGCCAATCTTGATTAGGCTTTGTGCTCATTCAAAGAAAATCAGTGAGAGACGTTCTGAGTTGCTGCGAGGATGGCTGTGAAAAAGTATTTTGTCCTGTAAAGTAGCCATCTTGAACGAGCCGCTGATATCCTTTGCGGCGCACTAGGCGCGCTGTAATCGCCTCATTTGCTTCAACTTCGTTGGTGTGGTCTCCTGAAATTGATGATTTCGGTTACATGGTATGCAGGAGTCGTGCGGGTATTCCTATTACCAATGTGACCTCACATGAATCGAAAAGGGTTTTTGAACTTTTGAGAGGATTGTATCTTTGTTCTTGCACGACATAAACTGGCCGGCCGTTTTCAAGTTTTGTGCCAGCAAGTCACCGTTAGTGGATATTGATTTTATGATTAGGGCGTACTGAGGACCGCCACGACAGAAGCCGCGCGTTGCGTGGAGCGTTGCTCACCCACAGCTAGGCAGGTGTGTTGGGACCTGGGTAGGTACGTAGACCTATGTCTTTTTCTTGTGGTTCTACTGGTGACAGTCCTTTAGTGGCTACTTGTACACTGCTCTTGGGTTTTGGCATTTGGCTTGTTAAGTTCACTATTTGCAGTTGTCACTCATCTAGTGGGTGAGTAGATGTAGCTTAGCAATGGTTTGCTGACAACATTAATGTTTCTCAATAAATAAAATGCAGATACTGTTTTGAATCCAAGTAAGCAATAACTGGGTAACATAGGCACAAAATTATGAATATACAGGCAAGCAATCTGAACAATTTATCAAAAGATCATGCACAAATCCTGCAGTTGCAACAAACAAGGCAATGCAGTTGGTGCTGCCAACTTTTATGATAAATGTGTAACATTTTTATATGCTTGTAGAACAAACAGCTCATGACAAACTACTCATTTGTGTTTGTAATAAGAATGTTTAGTACTGAAGAACCAGGCTGCAAAAACTACATGCTACATTGCTGGGAGTTGGGTCATGGTGGTGTCAAATACCAGAAAATGCACTGGAATAATTTGAAAAATCAGCCAATGTGTTTTGGACTTGGTTTTTGCAAGTGAGGTTCAGTGCACTGATGTGCTGGTGTACACACAGTGGATATAATTTTTTGCATGCTGGCTGAAGTACATGTAATTAATTCAGAACATTTGCTTGCTGGTGCACAGGTGATTAAAAGTTCAGTGGCCTTCCAAAAGTCAGTTAAATTTTCTAGCATATGAAGGTCATGTTAAATGTATATTCCCTGGATCTTTTGTACTGAGTTCATTTTTTAACATGCTAGCATGGCTTTTTACCTATTTAATTAGATAATAAGCTTGTTTTGCTCTGGGAGAGTCAAATTTGTGTGCTTTCAAGCATCAAGGTCAAGTTCATGTGGCAGGCCACCAATTCTATGCTCTGATAAAGCTCATTGGGAATAGTTTAATGGTTAAGGTGCGTGACTCTGAATGTTTCAGTCCTTTTTGTGTTCTTGAGCATCAATATTTACTTAATGTGGAGAGTCACCAGTTAGTCATTAGGTGCTTAACTGGTCATTGTAAGCTTCATTTGATGCTCGGCTACCTGGTTTTGCTGTCACATCTGCAACTCGGCTTGTAATCATGTGGAAAGGGATGCTTCCTGCCTATCATTCAGCATCAGGTATGCATGTGCATGAATGTCTCACTTGGTAGATGTTTACATCCACTTCATTTAGATTTCAAAAGTGCCAATGTTGACTTGTTGATTGGCACCTGTTATCAGCAAGGAATACTAGGCAAGGCAAGGCAAGGGCGTACAAGGCTAGGCGAGGCATACTAACGTGCATTGCCCGTGGAAGCTGACTTGATCCTGCTGAGTCAGGTGTACAAATGATGGGCTTATTTGTATAATTCTGGGCCATTTAATCATACCATGATGAATTTTTAGCAGTAAGCAGTGACACATTTCAGAACTCTTCTACTCTATGTGCAAACTAGATGATTGTAACTGTTCAAGTTTTTTTGTACAAGATAGTAGCATCACCAAAACTTCTTCTCCCAGTATTCAGTAGTTGGTAAGAGTGAAATTTACAAGCTGCAAAATGTGTCAACGTGCATGGATTACAACTGTTGTTACTGGCATCTTGGTGATGTTTCTTTGCAGCTGTTTTGAAGCCTTACCTTTAGGGTGCAGTTTTGTTCATCACCAGCTCCTCCCTTTGATTGAGCCACATGTTTCTCAGTCAGGAGATATTGCTACTGCAGGATGTCTTGCCCACATCAATCATCGCTCAGCTCCCTTCTGAATAGGTATTGCCAGTTGGCCTACTTCCTCTTAGGTGCACATGGACCCAACCCTCTTACATGCACCAAGTGTCAAATTTTTGCACTGGAACTCGGTATGAAGTATGGATGCTACCAACATATTTTTTATGCTTTGTGAAGTATGAAAATAAATACACAGGTATCAAAACACCCTCCCAGTTTTTTGCTGGTTGCTGAGTGGCAGGCATCACATTAAAAATTGGTGTCTGAATGGGCCTGTTGACTCCCTTTGTCAGGTTTGATGTCAGCAGTGTATTACTCATTCTGGTTTAAAATGCTGCTATTGCAACCTGTTGTTAGTAACTCTTAGTAGATGCACCTTATCTGGCATGTTAGTGACACAGCAGATGAGGACCATGGTTTGGATGATGATTCTTTCTGTAATAACCATTGTTTTGATAAAGGCATGTTGCTAAAATATCAACCCATCCGTATCTCCACTATCCCGTCTTTCTCTGAAGAATAAGGCTATTGCTGCTACCTTATTTAAAAATATGAGTCAGTTAAATTCAGAATTTTTTATAACCACAGTTGTACTGATCCCAAAGAGACACAGTTTACAAGTGATGTCATTCACAATTTGTACTCAAGGGTTACATTCTGCTCATGCTATATATTGCCTGCCATGCTCTGGGAGCCCATTACAATGGGTCATATTAGGTGTGCTCCATCCATATGGATGCAATATTGAATGCCACTTCCGGCTCACCAGTGTTCACAAAGTTCACAAGTGAATGCTGTTCTGCCTTTTTATAATCACAATTTTGACATGAATTTCAACTTTCTGTGAATAACTGTTAGCCTGGAATATTATGGATTTCAATACAACTTATGCTATTTTAGCATGTTAAGCCCTAATGTTCGACCAAATTTTGCGTAATGCAGTACCTCAATGATGGTCGCCTATCTCACATTGTAATGGCAGCAGCTGTGGTAAGGTGAGTGCTCTCTGAGCGTGCGCCGTGATTAACGCTGACTCCCTGTCTGCTCCAGACGCCATGGACGGCCAGACGTTCTGCCTCAAGTGGGACGGCTTCCAGGGCAGCGTGACGTCACTGTTCAACAGCCTGCGCCAGCAGGGCGAGCTGGTGGACATCACGCTCTGCTGCGAGGGCCAGCGGCTCCGCGCCCACCGCATGATGCTCTCCGCCTGCAGCCCCTACTTCCGCGAACTGCTCAAGGTGCGATCACGCGCGGCGGGCCAGCGCCGCGGCTTTGCGACGGCACCGCGGCACGTCCACACACCAAAGTCGTGGCGATGTCGGCGCAGGGCGTTGCTGTTGACATGCGCATCGCGGCAGGCACACTGGTCGATGATTATAGGCGCTGAAGGCGTGTGGCGGAGCTAGGGAGGCCTCGGCGAGACGCAGCGGGTGACGCCGGCGTGAGAGCCCGGAGGCTCGCTCGCCGCGCGTGTACGGAGTCTTACGGTGTGTAAGGCAGAGACTACAACGAGGCAGGCCGGCCGGGGCGTCACGGCGTGGTCGTGGGTGTACGTGGAGCCGCTGTAGTGGGAGCCGAGCTGGACCCCGTGGTGTACCGCACCGGCGCACTGCCTCTGGACAGGGCCGCTGGTGCTGCCTGGCAGCATACTGCGGCCAGGCAGCTGCAATGCAAGGACTTGGCGACTGCAAGCCGTGTAGAAGTGCAGGCGGCCCGCTGTGTTCAGCCCATCGCGGGCCCAGCACAGCCCAGCGCGCTCAGGTGCGGCGCAAACACAGCGATGTTGTGAGTGATACCTGGCGCCGTTCCAGGACCTGCCATGTCAGCAGATGGTGATCTTCCTCAAGGACACGTCGGCTGTCGACCTGCGGGCCATCATCGAGTTCATGTACAAGGGCAGCGTGAACGTGTCGCAGAGCCAGCTGGCCAGCTTCATCAAGACGGCGGAGATGTTGCAGATCAGGGGTCTCAGTGGCGATGAAGAGAAGGTGAGTGCGTCTCTGAAGAACCGCCGCCTGGTGCTCCGCAACAGTGATGTTTGCGTTAATCAACACTGCATTCCATGTCTGATATTTGATGTCGCGACGCTTCACACTGATTGCCTGTGGGGACTGATTGAAGCCTGGCTCTATTTTCGGCTTGTGCTTGCTGCCGGATGTCCTGTCGTTTGCCCTGTGACGCCCTGTCTCCCGATATGTCCGGAGAATGCAGCGTTCATGCGCCGTGTGTTGGCAGACGCCCACGTACGCATTTACACGACCCATCCCCACTAGCAGGCCGCAAGGCCGCAGTGAATAAGGTCGTTGGCCGCCATCGTCCCAGCAGCTGAACCGTGTCGCCGCCGTCTGACTCGCCGTCCTCTTCGCCGCCAGTCGGCGCCACCGGTCCACCACGTGGCGCCACCGGCGCGGCAGGCGGCGCCACCGTCTCCGGCGCCGCGCCGCGCGCCGCAACCGGGCCCCGTGCCGGTGTCCGAGCCGCCTCCGCCTCCCCCGCCGCCTCCGCCACCGCCGCCGCCGAGTCCGCCCGCGAAGCGGCGGCGCGTCTCCGACTCGTCGCCGGCCGGCGCGGAGCGGCTCGCCTCGCCGGCCGCCTCGCCCGGCCGCAGTCCGCAGCGCACGCCGGCCGCCTCGCCGCGCCCCGCCTCTCAGCCGTCCGCGCAGCAGCAGCCGACCGCCGCGCAGCAGCTGCCGGCCGCCGCGCAGCAGCTGCCGGCGCCGCCGTCGCCGCTGCAGCCGCCGGCGCAGCAGCAGCCGCCCGCCGACGGCGCCATCAAGGTGGAGAAGATTGACCTGACCGACGACGACGTGTGCCTGGAGGAGACGCTCGACCACGTGGCCGAGTACGAGGGCGGATACGGGGAGCTGGAGCAGCAGCGGTTGCCGCTGACACCCTCCGCGCAGTCCAGTGAGTGGCGCCGCCGGCAGGGGCCTGGGTTCGGTTCCCGCGGCGGGTGGTTTTTGACGCGCCTGCTTTCATTGCGGTGTGGCGATGCTGAAGATATCTCGAGTTTACGTCTGCCGTGAGTGGGGTACGCGAGGAGTGGGTGAGGAACTCGCGGGATGCGGCGGAGGTGGGAGATTTTGCCACGTTTGATCTTGCATTTCAAGATTAAAGGACTGGAGAAATTAGTTTTCTGTAGTCACAAAACCCTTTAAGTAAGTTCGGATTTATGCTATGACGTTGCGTTCGAAAACATCTACGGGCTTCATCACATTCCCACTGTTATTGAGAGTGGTGCGTTCTAAGTCACCCGCGTGCAATCGCCTTCGCGATGCAGGGGTTAGTTGTAATTTGTGCAGAATTGGGCTCATGCGTTGATGATTGATTTCGCATTGTCGACAGTCAGTTGGATTCCTCTGTCTTCAGCCCCCTGGGTGCTGAGCATGCTCTATTGCCATCTTGTGCGATTCCTCCTGCGCGTTCTGGACACATAGTCTGCGCACATTTGTGAGAGTGCACATGCACCCCTTCGATACGCAGTCGTCACCAGCTAGCCCCGCCGCCGGCGCTCCGTGCGTTGGCCCCCTGACGCCAGTCTGTGTCCGTTTGCAGTGGTCTCCGCCCCCGGGCCTTCGCAGCGAAACGCCGACGACGGCGCCGTACAAGGTAGGCGGCTGTGTGTGCGTTTGTTTGACCCTGACGCGCTGTCCGGCCCGCCCAGCCCCGGCCCAGTCCGCGCCGCGCGACAGGAAGCGAAGTCCCACGAGTTGTGACCACCCCGGGGCGTTGGCGGTGCCTCTCCGCCGCGCCTGCTGCCATCTGTTTTTTGGAGGAGCTCTATGTCGCTGATGAACGGGCGTCGAAATCGAAGAGCAAACGCGTCTGGTTAAGTTAACTGTGAAGTCCTGTCCCCCTCCCATCCATAGCCTTCGTAGACAGCTGGAACGTCACGTCGATTTGTAAAATGCCAGTTGTCTCCCAAACTGCCGTTGGAGCACAGCCGGGGCCAAAATCAACCCCGCACTAATAATGCCTTAACGCCCACCGGCCATGGCGCCAGCCGGCCGTCGTTTTCCGCTTTTCCGCATGGGGGGCGTGACGTTTCCTGCCCCCCCCCCCCCCTCTCCCAGAGAGGCGCTCTGGGAACGGCAGCGCGGGCCGGACGGCGGGACCGGGTCCGGCGGGAGGTCACGGGCCGAGGTCGTGGTCATGTAGGGTCACGGAACGCTAGGGAGAATAGACTCAGTCGGGGATGCGTCAGAAAGGCCACATCGGTGCCCCAGAGAGGGGGGGGGGGGGGTTCAGTGAATGAACGGCACCGTCCCACGATGAGCATGGCTCACGAGCATGCTATCGGGCATGTCTCGCTCATCTCCGGGCAGCCAGCACTGGCGGTTCTCTTTCTGGCCGCTTGTGGAGATCAAAACCAGCATCGAGGTGTGGAATACAAGCTTGCTCGCCTACCAGATTTGGTTTGATATCAAGACGTATTTGTAGCACGACCAACTAAACTGTGCGCTTGACCTCTTCAAATTATGCAAGCTGCTTGAATTTTTCCTGTGTTGAAGATGAGAAGGCTTTTAACGTTAAAATTTTAAATGTGATTCTGAATGTGTTCATTTATGTCGTGTTCCACTTGCTGTGAAGCTACCAAGGGTTATTTCCTGGTTTCTGTACGCCTTTTGCAAGACGTATTTGCCGGTCAGAGGCGGCGTAAAAGTATTACACCATTATGATCTGTAGTGATCGTGATGACTCGGTGGTATTAGTTCCAGCGGTTTCAAAGCTCAAAAATTGAACAACGACCGTAACGTTGTGTTTGGAGTTTGCAGCAAATGTTCTGAAACTAGGGCATTTTTCATATAACTGGCTTCAACACCACATACCATTGCGGGGTTGCCTGGTGGGTAATCGACCATTTTGCCTGGGCTGCACGCGACAGTGGTCCCCGACAGGTCCCCGGGAGCTGGGCCGACCCGACCTCGGCCCGTTGACCTCCGGCCGCCGCATGCATGTATGTGTGTGTGTGTGTGTATGTTACTTGCCGGGCCAGGCGCGGCGCGAGACGGCGGCAGGCGGCAGGCTGGACTCAGGCTGACCTCAGGCGGTATGCGGCCGGGTGGCAGGCTGAGCTCGGCCACCAGGCGGCGGGGGGGGGGGGGGGGGGGCGAGAGCAGGTGGCGCCGCCTTCACAACTGCACCAATGCTCCGTGAGCCACATTATTACGGTGCCAGCGGGATCATTGGCACACTGGTGCAATGCCGCACGTCACTGACGTTCTGAGGTGGTTCCGCCTCTGGTTCAGCCTGTCGGTCAGCCCACGTCCCGTGCCGTTTGCTGGGAGCGGTGTCACTCCTTGCAGTGGTCTTTGGAATTATCTGCTTTTGTGTTGCACTTCGATTGCTGCAAGTTCAGCGAGCGTGCCAGCTGTTGGTGTGAGCTATCTCAATCACGGCTGAGGGTTACTGAAACTGTTGGAGGAAAGATCATTGGCGGTCATACAGGCAAACACGACCGAAGTTCTGAAATGTTGATGCAATTAGCTTATGTCATTTCCTTCCTACTTCGGATATGTGCTTGTCCGCCGTTTCTTAAAGAGGAGCAAAGTTGAAACAATCCATTCCCAGCGCGTTTCATGTGGTTTTGTGGGTTTCAGCATAGCCATGTTGACAAACTTTTTTGCTGGTAATTGTTTGTCATGCAAGCAACATCTGAATGAGCACGACATTTGCTAACATCATAAGCATAGGGTTTTCCAGTACACCCTCAAAGTGCTCAGTACGGTCGAGTACCACTTAACAAATCGCTTCCAAATTTCAATTTTGCCTCGTGAAATGCCGAATGCGGACAAACGTGCGCGAATTTGAAGGTGTATCCTGAATGGCAGGCTCTCATTTCATTACGTCTATTAAAATCAGTCTGGATCCTGGAGGATTCTTCTTAAGATAAGCTGGATGTCGGAACCCAGAAATAGCAATAAATAATAAGTCGGAGATTCTCCACGCGGTCCTCCATGACAGACACAAACAAAAATATCATAACACTATCTTCTAGAGTATCCTCAGAGATCTTTTGGCTGATGGGAAGGTTTGACCGGCGTCTTCCAGGGTAGTCCAAAAACATGACACATAGTAGCAGATATTGTGTGGAACCCTAAGTGAATTCTGGTCATGCGACGTCGTATTCTGTAATTGTCACAAAGCAGATAGTATCTGTGTCATTTGAGACAGGTTGCAGAATGGCGGGGATACCAATGTGAAGAGCGCTTGTAATATCGGGTGGATCCTAAAAGATCTTGCGATTCAACGCGGAAATGACTGCCGCGTCCTGTGAGAACCTTAATGAACCAATGAAAAGGCCTCTCAAAGAATTCTCGGAGATCCGTCGCCAAAACTTGAAACCGATGCATAAACTCAAAATTCGTTGGTAGAAATTACCAAGTGGTTGCCGACGTGTTTGTAGATATTGGATTTGGATCCCGAAAGATCTGGGAACTAAGGCCCAAGATACAGTTCCGGTCGGTGCTCATCTCTAGATTTCTGGAATCCCCGCACATGTCTGATTGCTACGCCGTCTTCCCCTGACCGGCAGCCACGAGGCCATCCTGTGAGATTCAGATCTGAAGAGTGTCGCCAGGAAAAGGGTTCGAAATTAATTTCATGCTTGTACGCCTGCTGAGTACCAGGACATGCAGCAAAAACAGTGCCGAAACGCGCTCTTTTATTGCCGCTGCCCGTGTTCGCGTGTATTACGCTTGTCCGGTTCGCTCAGGACGGCGGGGGGGGGGGGGGGAGGAGAGAGGCGCCGCGTCCCCCCAGGACGGACCGGGGGGCGACGCGTGACCCGGCCCGGGCTTCTGACCTGGCCCGCCGGGGTCAGGTCCGGCGCCGCTTTGACGGAGTGTTTGGAGCGGTGCTGGAGCCGGGCGGAGGCGGCCGTGGGCGCAGGTGAGTGAGTGGGCGTGGCGGGTGCGCGTGGCTTCAGTGTATTCCAACATGAACACTGCTTAAGCTGTGGCATTTTTTAGCAGATTTTTTTTCTAGAGGATATGCGGGCAGTACCGAGCGCGCTTTGAGTGGAGTGCAGGTTTTAGCCTGTATCTGCCGGTGTGCAGCTCTGACTGTGTTATGCGCCTTGTGTGATTTATTGCGATTTATTGGAAATATCAGCTGGCTTTGGTGACTCGTCAGCCCGCGTTCCACACCATCATCAGGCAGGTCGCTCAGAGAGGTTCAGTAGACGAAAGCCACGAGGGAGGTAGCACTTAACACCGACTGCGGTGTTGGGCTCGGGACATTCCCTGATACCGTAGGCTATACGCAGTCTGCGATACTTTCCCAGCATATCAAACCGAATCGCAATTAAAGGTTCTGAGTTCTAGGTTAATTGCGTTAACCCAGGTGCTCTCAAGTTCGGTCTAATCCGTTGCTGGGGTACTTATTCAGTTGAATGCATCATTGCATGCCGTATGCGTTGGGGAATTTCTATCCGCTAACGTCCTCTTGGGTAAAGTTTTCCAACGCTCGATCACGTTTCGTTTGCACTGATTTGGTGTAATCGGAGGTGAAGTTTAACTTGTAAATGGGTTTCCGCCCCCGGGCGGATCTGGATCTAAGGTATTGTTATGTCTCAGACCGTGTACTGCACGTCCGCGCGGCGCTTCTGGTTTCGTCCTTCTCTTTGCTTTTCGTTGTGCGATGCGTCGGAGTAAGCATTAACCCCACATGCGTGCGTTCAGTCAGCCATGTGATGTCGGATGGAGGGAGTCATTACAAAGGGACAGCATGGGCCATGTCCCTGGTTGCTGACCGACAGGCTCAGTCTGACAGATCGGCTGTCAGGCTCGTTCCGGGTAGGGACTCTTTCATCCCCCATTTTTGGGAACCTGATCGATGGATCGTCTCACGCGGTCGCCAACGAACTACGATCGTGCCAGGTGCTGACCAAAGGCTTCAGTCTTGGCACAAACAAGCAAAAACATGAAAGACGAGTTGTCACAAACACGAGGCCTGGCTCATCCCGCACACTGGACGGAGAAGGCGTCCCTCTGTTTTTTTCTCCCTCTGAGTCGCCGGCACGATATTTCCTGGAGCCCAATCCATAGTTCTGGACTCATAGGTGAAGGGTTCATCATGCTGCGTTCGTGCGCTCGTATCACCCGGATATATGAAATCATGCTATTTTATTATCGTCCTGCTATCATTAACATATGATCGCCATGCATCACCTAGACGCATCACGTAAGAGCCGTGCTACATTGAAACATTCGATATTGTTGACACTGACCACCGGCATACGAAAATGCAATGCATTCCAAGGAAAGAGGCCACCGTGGTTTTAGGTGTTCATTATAGTCTTTAACTGCCGCTGGACGATCTGAAAGGTGAGACACCGATGCTTCCGCTTCAACCTCCAACTTCAGCACCTAATTACATATGCTAAGCCATAGATCAACGTAGTCGGTGCGCCCCAAAGCCCAAATCATCATATTAGATGTGCGAAGTGGACGGCGCGGGTCTCCCGTGCGAAGTTTGCGCTTCGCCCAGAGTCCCCACTGTGACAGTTCTCTGGGCCCTAGAGCCCGATGGACTGGAGTCGCCGTGGCCGAAGGTCGCCTGCGTGACCTCGTCAGCTATCCCTGCCCGTGACGCCGCTCAGGCGCCCCTGCGATGTTACCGCGTCGGCATGTCAATTGGGCAGTCAACCAGAGGTACGGGTTCGATTCCCCGCGGTGCCCGCCCTTCCTGCCAGGGTGAGAGGCAGGCGACGCCATATAGCCTCAGCAGCTGAGTGCGTCGTAAAGCCCCCCCCCCCCCCATGACAATTGGGAAGTCACTGGGGCATTGCCGCCGGCAAGGGGAGGTCAGTTTTCCGTCACTTACCCAAGGGGTCACTGTTGACATGCAGGCCACGGCGCCGAACGGATTTCAATGGTTCTGACAACACATTTTGGGCGTATGGCGTTGAATTCAGGGATAGAAAACGTGAGGCACTCATAAAGGTGTGCGGTAAACGACCACACCATGCATTCCGTCTCGCTTTGGTTTTAATGTAGTGTAGGTAAGTGTAAGAATCCTGTGCTCATGTTATAGAAAAACCCGAAAATGGGTCAATGCATCTCGCTTTGCAGCTCCTCGCGACTGGCTAACGAAGGCAGACAGACGAGCTTTAGGGGCTAAAGAAGCAATAGCATGGTGTTTGCGAGCATGTTCTTTTCCATTGGCTGTGCGGTCAATCCGTAGGTTGACTGTTGATTTAGCAGACTCATATAGCATATAGAACAATATGAGGACGGAATGGTTTACATCAGTCACATCGATATCATCACCATGCTAACAGTTTCGTATCATCATCAATCAGTTCTATCCACTAATTACTTATGTCGTAAACTGATCTATAGAACAATATTGGACTCTATTTACGCAACACCGAAACGGCATGTAGAATGGCACGCCCCATTCGCCCTATTTCAGCGACACCATCATGTAGTTTCTTCTGTCATCCTCACTGGGTTCATTACATCGCATCGAATCGCGCATACATGGTACGTACATATACACGTTGCATATATACGCGCGTACGGGAGCTGCCGTATTAGTTCGCCATGACCAAGTATGGTGGTGGTGTGGTGTCGTGTTTCTCGAACTTTTCCGAGTTGGCACACACGGAGTTTTCTGTGACATGAGCGCAGGCCACCTTACATTAATATTAATCCCTAAACGATATCTTGACTGCGATGACATGTGCCAATATTGGCGTTGGATCAAGTAAGCAAATGTCTGCTACCACCAATGCGAGTGACATGTCCGGGCAGGCGCGATGGCCGAGCCGCCGGGGCCGTGCCTTCTTGTGGGTAACGGGGGTGGGGAGGAGACAGAATCGGAACTATTGGCAGAGTGAACCGGGGCGCTTAGGACCACTTAAGCGTCCCAGAAGACCGCCTTTTTGAGGAATGTGGGTGCTCAGGGTTAGGTCTGGTTCTCCGGTTCAAGCCGAGTTCAGTAGTGCCATTTTTGTCCAAAGGCGTGGGTGTTTAGAAGATGCGCAAAGAGCTTAAAGGTCAGTGGCTCAGTCATTTTCGCTCACGAGAGGCCAGCAAATAATTTCAAGACCCGTCCTTTCCATAAACCTGGATAAGTGAAGTAAAGTCGTTAGCTGGTTTTTTTACCATGCGGATTATATGATAGTATCGAGCAGGCATGTAAAGTAACCGCAGGATAATATGACTTCTTGTGGCAGAGTGGGTGGGAGGTTGGAGGGGAAACTGTGCTTTAAGAGATATATTTTCAATTGAGACGAAGGTCAAACGCATCATCGCAAGTGAAATGGCTTAATGGGACGCATAGAAATGTGATTTGAGCACATTTGACTTCTCTTTTATCCAATCTAACGGCACTGCGACATTTCTATTATCTGTTTGGCTTTGACCAAGAGAACAGAACCTGTTAAGCCATGTAGACTAAAAAAAATTGTGCGAAACAAATTCTCACGTTACATCGTTACTCAAATGATTGTTATGAACACACATTGTACATCGTTCTGCATCGGAGTGGGTCCAGTGCACGCTGATTATAAGTGCTTGTTCTTCTGCCAGTGGGCGTCCAACTCCCGCAGAAGCCACTGGAGGTGATCGTTGTAGCCGTCTGCGATGCGTGCGAAGAGCTTAACCATTGACATACCCTCCACTGCAACATCATTAGAAATTGTTGTACACCACTCAAAATCACTGTGTGACGGGTAATCGTCATTAGCTTTCTATTGATCGACTGGACTGCTAAGTCATCGACTAGCATTGCTCTGGAGAAGCCTGGATTGACAGCCAAGGGATTCGTCCACCTCATCGGAAATCCTGTATCCCCGTTTACGAACGGCGCAGCATCCGCAGAATCATTCGCCACTGGCATAGACAACAGTATCGAAGCCATGAATGCCTTCCTAATATCGCTGACACTTCTCACAGCCAGAGGGAACACGACCGTCTCAAACACAAAAAGGCGACGCAAGCGACGCGTGAAGACCAACGCTGCTCCGGTCACGGGCTCGCTATCTGTCCGGTAGTGTGTAGATTGCGGTAGGGCCTCAGGTCTATCCTAGGGGCGTCAGCGGAAAGTGCGCCGGCTGTCCGCGTGACTGTACCAGGGCCTGATAGCGTACCAGGACCTGATGCCGCACCAGCATCTGATGCCGTGCCAGGACGTGGTGCCGCACCAGGACCTGGTGCCGTACCAGGACCTGATGCTGTGCCAGGGTGTGATACCGCACCAGGACCTGATGCCGTACCAGGACCTGATGCTGTACCAGAACCTGATGCCGTACCAGGACCTGGTGCCGTACCAGGGTGTGATACCGTACGAGGACCTGCTGTTGTATGAGGACCTGATGCTGTATCAGGACCTGGTGCCGACCAGGACCCAAGCCCGTGGTTGGAGCAGCGTTGGCCGTGATGTACTGCTATTGAAGGCCTGAGACGGTCGTGTTCTGTCTGGTTTCGAGTGATGTCAGTGATCATGAAAGAAGCGGCAGTCGTTTTGACGCTGTCCTCTATGTCGCTGGTGAAATACTGAAAATGCTATCACATCCTTTATTCTCAGGACGAGAATTGTTTGATCTAGTGTAATTAATCTAGAAGAACTTACCTTGTCTGAGCTTTACAGGTTCTTTTGGTTGAGTTCGAACTAATCATATCGATACCAGCCAGTGGCTAAGCAAGCCAACAGCTCAGTGCGAAGCCAAGGACGGCTATCCATTTTATCGTGCATTGGAGCATGACGATCAGAAGGCTTTGGTGCCTTGCGGTAGACATTGCTGCTGCTCCTTGCCTTCGGTGTAGTATGCTTTGATAATGTTGCGCACATTTCGAGCTTTTGCATTGCCTGGACAGTGCACGAAACCAAAACCAAACATTGCACTATTTTTGTCACGCGCGAAAGGTACTAAACGCTTCCAGGTGAAAACCGTCAACTGTTGGGACACAGCAGGTAAAATGTATACCCACCAAACATACCCGTCCAGCTCATAGACCTTTACCGCGGAAATGCTCGTAAAACAGATTCAGGGATTCAGGACAATCGGCCAACAGGGCTCAGGAAGCGTCCGCGCACAGATAATCGCGCCTCGCACGACTTCTGCTCCGTAACAATATTCCATCTGCTTGATGCCAGGAATGAAGGCGGTCGCTAAAACGCGGTCAGTTGCCAATCCGTCGCTAGTCAGGCATGGAGTAATGATGTTCATGAATTTTTTTGCACATGCAATTTTAGCTCACATGGCTTGACGTTCTTGTGTTCGATGCCTCAGAGGACAGAAAGGTCAAAAGGAGGTCAGGTGGTGTTAAAGAGGGGTCAAATCAGCTCGCATTGCATGAAGATACCTACGCTATTGAGCTAATGTCGCGAGGATTCGTTGTGTTGTGTTGTTTGATGTTCGTTTGATGCGCAGTTCGACGCAGTCAAGCGTTTCATTTTTAACTATTGCTAGACGCCCCCTTCTCGTATTCTGATTTCCCTTCGCTTAAGCGACTCATCAGCTTGGTATCATGTTCAGAAGTTTGGAATCAGCATTGTCAGAGAGCGTTAGGGGCTTTGTTTTAAACGTTAATGTCGATGTTAATGCATATTTTGTAACGGGAACCTGGCCCCATCAGAGCGAAAAGAGTTCAAAGTTACAGAACTATGACCCCGTTTCGCACCCTCTAAACATGTACGAGGTTGATGCTTTCTGAACTCGCCTCAAGCATAATGATACACACTGAACTCACCTTTAAGCAGCGAACCAGACTTGTCCCGAACACTTAGACTTTTCTAGAAAAAAAATGTTATCCTGGAGCCCCTAATGATCACATTAGCCGTTAGCACCGCATTGAGGAGTTCATGACGACATGCGCAACGTCCCCTTTAAAGAAGCTCTTAATGTTATATAATCATGACCGCAAGCAAATGTATCGTATGTTGTTAAAAAGAACTGAGCTAACATAGAATCGCATGTCTGTATGATTGCAATGCACTAGTCCCTGCCATAGCTGCCATTGTAGTGACCCAGTGCGAACTAGTCGAAGTGACGTGATAATGAATAGTACTCCTGATTCATGATGGCACTCTCCGCTTGCTATTCCAGTTTGATCGGATGGTGCAGCGTAGCGGCGGTGTAACGTCAACACACGAGAGAAGCAGAATTGTGGATCAAATACGTCACGTTTCACTTAACGCAGCCCAGGATGGATGTGCTCTATTTTATGGGAACGGGTCGCGCATAAGATGCCGTTACACGAATTTGGCCGTGCGAACAGCTTCAGGCTGCCCCGCCTTCTTTTAGCTCTTCTTGTAGGATGGTAGCCCCACTCACTTGCGAGTTGAACGACCATCGGACGTTCTACCTCCAGCAGGACGTATGCGGGATTGCATGTGAAATGTCGTGCGTTGTGTTATGTTTGTAAGCATGTTATGCTTGTGGTGACATTGAAAATCACCTCTGTGTCAATTGGTGATTGTATTTAATCGTGGACGTGCGGAAGTCTTTGACGAGTGAGACAACCGAGGTCATCTAGTTTTTCCTGAACAACAGCTCAGGGCGAAACAGTTTTGAGTAGAAATTCCATGGGCTGGATATTGGACATTAGTCGCGACGCTCATTGGAGCGATATTCGTCACCATTTTACTACCATCTGGTGTGAAATAAGACTGGATTTATGCACAATCTGCTTGGTGTTCTTTCGTTATGTTATGGCGATGGGTTACTTTTTCTGCAGGAAGTGCGACCTTTGCCGCGCCCTGCCTCCTTTTCTGCATAAGGACATACGATATTATGAATTTGACAGCAGCTGACGGACAGCTGGCCGGGAACTGACGGCTGTCAACTCGTCTCTCCTATAGGTTGCTGCAGTCCACGACCAAGACAGCCACTATCTGCATCGTAACAAGACGCCCGGGAGAGCAGAAGTGTCCCCGACTCATCACGACACGCTACGCCAGCGGGCCGACATAGGAGCAATTAGCTGCGTTCCTCTACGGAATTGTTCCGCTGAACGCAGTGGAATGGAGCTGGATTCCTTCGGAGTGATGCATTTCAACACGTGTCGCACCGGGTGTAACCAGGATGGAGCATTCTGGACACTGCAGTCTGTGGTGGGGCATGCGGACGATGTTCGTCTCGGTCAGGCGGGAAGTGCATGACCAGGCGGGTTAGCGCGTCCTGGTCAACAGCTACAGAACCGCGGTGATTTTGTGTTTCGATGAACTCGTTTGGAAGGCACCCGACTGACGCGCTCATTGATCGCACGCGGAAAGACAGTTTTCGTCGAACGACTGTTGTAGTGCCTGCGAACGACGAAAGTGCTTTGGAAAACTGATGGATGAGTCGGACTGTGCAATAAGACGTGTTTTCCGAAGAACGTTCGCGTTGCACTCGTGGGAGACGCCTGGGATTCACTGTTTAAGTGTCCCTGTTGAAGATGCCTGTCACGAGTAAGTAATATTTGAAGTCTGTGATAGCTAGCTTGCTTTTTTATCTACAGGGCTTATGAACTACCACTCTTCATTTAGATCTGTCATTGCTTTGTCCGCACCAGTAATTTTTGCTGTCAGAATTATAATGGGACGCTGAACTTTGCATCAAGGGGTCGACTATGGGGTTGTGCTCATTTTTAAGTTTGCTTTCCCTTCATTTTACAACAGCTTGTTTACTGTCTTATTGTAGGACAGGGTGAATGGAATTCTGTACTGGTGTGCCTAGCCTGTTCATTACAAAAGTTAAAACGCGCATTTCGTGTTCCTTTGTCAGCCTTTTGGAATGCTGGTCATCCCAAGAGCCGCCAGGAATGGGCAATGCAATATTGCACTCTGGTTATTTGCGTGCGACCAATCAAATCGTTATCAGTCATCGTTTGGCCTTCCATTGGCGACAGGCCGCTAGTTTGAAGGTTGGAATCGTACTAGATTCAACTATTGCGCATAGTGAGCGCGGAGAAACCGGTAGTTTCACAGATATATGTCGGTTACAAAACACATGTCAAGTTAAAGGAGGCATTCGTTTTATTCCATTTCATATGTGTAAAGATCGCCGTCAGCTGGCGACCCGTCTCACCTAACCTTGTTGCATCTGTCGGGGAAGGCCGTTGTTGCGTTGGCTTACGGTTGCGTTCTCCCCCAGGTGGCGCCATCTACTCTTGTGTGATCTGCGGCCAGTCGTACACCAACCCGGACTCGCGGCAGATGCACATGAAGAAGCATTCTGGTGAGACGACGTGTCCCCTTTGCGGCAAGATCTACAGCATGGTGCACAACCTGCGTCGCCACATGCGCAACGCACACGACGTCGACGTTCGCGGGCATCCGCGCACTGTGTTCGACGCGCCGCCGTGAGCGACTGTGTATTGGTGGAGACATGCCGCCGCTGACGGTGATTGACGGGGGGAATGCCGCAACGGAGGGATTTTAGTGTCGGTTGTGCTTGGTGCAGTACAGCCGACGCGGGCCGTGATGGGCGGAGGGCGAGCGGTGCTGACGGTGGTCGGTCAATGAATGGCGGCTTCCGCCCTTAATCTGCGGAGCATGGATGCGTGCGGCTTTTGACATCTGGTCTTTTTAAAGAAGATTGCCTTGTTTTTGTGTGTAGATGTGAGTGTGTGTGTTTGGATTGGAGTGGAAGAAGCCTTAGAGTACCCTAGACCCTTCTATGAGTCCATGACGCAACCTTATCCGCCTAGGATATTTTTCCACGAGCTGCGCACGAAGGCTGACGCCTTTTGTCGCTGGTGGGCATTTGGTGACCAATGCGGCGTTCTATATGCCGGTGGTGCGGACGTTAGCGCGGTTTTACTGCTCGGACTCCAATTTCGCATTACGTATGTGTCGCGTGCGTTTTTCAGTCTCGTTGTGGGCCCGTCTGTGCAATCGGTCTCTGGTGATGTTGGAGCCGACGTTATGTGACCAGGCGCAGGACATGCAATGGTTATCAGCGGTCATCAAGGGCATCAGTTGTCATCGGCAAGAAATACGAGTTGAGTTGATTGGTGGGCGATTGTCCGTGCCTGGTCTGTAGTTAGGTTTTCGAAACGCTCAGCTTGTGAAGCCTCCGTCTTTTGTGACAATCCGTCGCGGTGTGTTTGAAGTCAACAATGGTGCGGCTGAGGCGCACTACTTCCTTGTCTGGTCATGAACCCTGAGATGTTTCTACCGATGTGTTCTACGCCGGGTGTTCGGGTACCGGTAGCCGCGCGTCTGTGGAACTGGAGGCACGGGGCTTGATTCCCCACGGTGTCCGCGCTTCCTGATAGGCTGAGAGGCAGGCGACACCATTAAGCCTCAGCAACTGAGTGCCCCAATGACGACCGTCACAGCGTGCGCTCATGCAGATTGTGTGACGGGATATTTGGCTCCTACATATGCCATGGTAAGGCTATCCACGGTACAAATGTTCAGCAAAGCCCCCGCCCCCTTCATATGGAGCACGCGGACACGGTACTTCATGCTGGTACTTCAGCGGACACGCTCAGCGGGATGTAGATCCACATATCTCTAAGTTGGGAACTTACGTTGCTTGCTTCTCCATGTTTTGTGATTGTGAGTGCCAGTGCTAGTTGGCTCGCATTCAAGCTGTTGCACGTGTGGTGGATTTCAGGACCTCGTTGCACGCTCGCCAGGTTGGGGTAGTTTCTTCGAAGACGGCATTCGCGTCCATTTCTGAGGTGCTACATCCGATCATACAGAGAGATTTCACACCCATCTCAGTTTCTCAGCCAATTCAAGCAAAAATCCACAAGGGTATGCCCGATTTTTTTTGTTAGAAAAGTGTTTGATCATTCTGTCGCACACTAGGCCTGCCGTATAGCAAGGAACCGCTTTTGATACCATGAACTTCGGCGAATGATGCATATCCCTTCCGCGAGAAGTGTCAAATTGTATTTATCTCTGAACCTTTGCTGCATCCAAGTTGTCGTATGCATTACGGAAGCACCCCAGCCATCCAAGCTGCCATGATTAAGGCGATATGTTGTAGTGAAGTGGTAACTAATATGTTTTATTGGCACGTCACACAGGAGATGAGCAACTTAAGCCACCAAATGTGTTCCATTTGCATTTAAGTCCGCGTGTTGTGTGTTGGTGCTAGGAAAAACCAGCGCTTGTCCGATGCTTATTTATACTTCGAGTGTTTGATACCATGGCCAGGCGTGGTCTGACTTGAGCTTCATGGGTAAAGACAGCCAGATGTCAATATACGGTGGGCAGATCTACTTTTTGTGAATGGTCATGTGGGAGTTGTGGAACTGGCAAGCACAATGCGCTCCGAACAAACGTATAAGAATACACACCGGTCTGCAACAGCACTGCAGCGCTCTTGTCGGCCGTTTAAGTGCTTGCAACTTTGGTTTTGCACCCAGTTTTCTTCGCGCTGATGTTCATGTCATGCACACAAAATGACATTGCGGGCGCCACACAGCGAGGCAGCGAGAATCACAAACCGGCCTTGCGCCCAGTGGCTACCACGCACTCACGCCGCCCTCCCGCCGGCAGCGCGTCACTACCCGTGCGAGACGTGCGGTCAGCGCTACCTGCACCCCATCTCGCTGAAGCTGCACCGCAAGGCCCACGAGGGACTGACGACGTGCCAACTATGCGGCCGCACGCTCTCCATGGTGGCGTCGCTGCGCGCGCACCTGCGCACCGTGCACGCGCTCAGCGTGGAGGAGGTGCACCGGCTGGTGCCGACGCTGCCGCGCCGCCGCCAGGCGCGCCACGTCGGCCGCGAGACGCCGCCCGCGTCGTCGATCAGACGCACCGCCAGCCCCGCTGAGGATTGAACAGAGGCCGCGGCCGGAGCTACGTGGCTCGCCGCTGGCTGCTGTGTCCTGGAAGGCAGAGTTTCGTGTAACGACGAGCTTTAGGGTTGGATTGTGAAATTCGTAGTTCTGGGGTGACGCAGAGATAGCTGGGCACCGCTGCGACATGGCCTGTCAGTGGCTGTTAGCTGGGAGCCGCGTTTGCGGTGTTGCGAAATGTGTAACGTGTAATGACGAGCTTTTGGAACTGGTTTGCGGTTTGTGTGATTTCACTTTGTTTTGGATGAACACCATGTCGACGTGGTTTGTCAGTGGTTGCTGTGTCACGTGAGACGTGTTTGTGTGAAGCATAGTGCTTCTGCGAATAGAATGCCGGTGACATACCGTCCACGGCTGAAATGGCGAAAGCGTGACGCGATGCACGTAAGCTGGGCTTCACCACTCCGGCCGCTGAGATGGCAGTTGCTGCCATGGTGTCGTGGAGGCTTGCTCAAAATGATTGGGGGAATTGAAAGCCGTATCAGATGGGACACAGTTGGAAGGATGCTTCTGTCGTTTTCCTCATCTGCTGAGGAAATGCGTAAGGAGCTGTGGTGACGCAAAATATTCCTGTCCGTTTTAGGGCATGCGCGTTAGTAGCCAACTGCATCCCGCAACGAACTACAACTGAATCGAGCCATCGCTCTGCACTTTGATCCGTAAACTTACCACTTGTAATTAAACACAGCGATTTCCATCAAGCGGGTAAACGAGCTCCAGGTAGCCAGCTCCATATTTATAGAGGTACATTCGTAATGTAACAAAGTGGCCTCGTCTGGTCGTGACTGCAGAAATGGCACGATCTTGCATATCATCATACCTCCTTGCCTTATGCAGAGCACGCAGAGCACGTACATGACATGGACCCAGTGGAGAAAAAATATACAGAAACAGGTCAATATTGTTACCCGGATACGCTATTTGCATAAGCATGTTGGGTAAGCTGCATTCTTGCTCACTCCCTGTCTTAGACTTATCTTGTTTCAGAACGAAAAGGCATGTTTGTTACAAATGACCATGGCTTAAAATATGCTTTTAGGACCGGTTAAGCACGTGTAATATGGTAAAGGTGGTTAGGGTGAGTACCAGAGCGTATTTTGTCATTCGCATGCTCAAAGTTTTGTATGTGCAAGAGGCTTAAGATCAGCGGCTCAGACTTATCAGATAACATGTTATTCAACGGAGCCATCTCGTGAAACAAATCAGTGGAAGGTCAGCAAAGATTGAGTAGTTCGATTGCTTCGTTGGATCCATGTAAAAATCTCAGACATCTCATTGCTGTTCTGTATCGAAGCGATCAGAATGTCTGTCGTGTAAGATGCGCCTTCTAGTCTGGATAGATCATAGTGTGTTAAAGCCACAAGTTCTCCGACGGCCATTACACAAAAATCCTCGATATATTTGCTGCTTACTTTAGATAATAAAACATTTTCAAGCAGGTGTAAGGTAGCCTTCATCGTAGCATAACCGCCACAGTCGCCTATACCATAACGCACAAGGTCACACAACGCAGTTGTGGAATAGCCTTATTTAGCAATTAAAAGAAATGTTTCACATTTGTGGGGTATTTTGAACTAAAATAGCGATCATGAAGATTATTCGGCGCCGTTCACAGTTCTGCGCTCCTTAAATCCTAAACCCTCTTAGTTTCTGAGCTACACGCTTGCGAAGATGTACACACTGTTTTGGGGAGATTATTCCAAGGTCATTCTGGTGTCCATGACACCACAATAACGCCATCCGAATCCTGCCATTCCAAAGGTCATGTGACAATTAAGGCTAAACATGTTTCTTTGGACCTGTTCATATCTGCCGTGCATGAGCACGATTTCCAAATAAGACGGCCGTCAGTTGGCTTTCAGTCGGTGTTGTGTAAGGTATGATGGTGTAATCAAACAATGACGTATTGAGGAGCATATGTTGCAAACAAATTGTGTTTTCTAGAGCAGCCTTTTCCACTTAGTAATTTGCCAGTAGCGATAGGTGAGCTTATTTCATCACATGTAATGTTTGCATCAAGATCTTAAGACTTACAACCTTTCTTTTAAACGAACTTGATTCTGCCGCACTTGGTTTCGGATGAAAACTGTTTTTCACCTCTGATGCTATGGAACAGTGGTAATGTAAAATAGGTGATAGTTTTCGTGCAGAATAACCGCTCACGTGGGTTATCTCGTCATCGGTTCGTCGACTGGATGGTTATTGGCAGGTACGTAGTGCCATCTTTCAGAAAGAAGAAATATCCCCATCCTCACTGGTTCCATGTTGTGCTTTTCCCGGGAAAGAACGTTATACGTTGGCACGATAATGTTGATACTTGATGGGAGTGTCACACATTTGATGATAATAAACCAAGCAGCATAGATGATGGAATAAGCTCACTTATAACTGCAGGTATACTTTAGGTGGAAAGGGCTGTTCCAAGCAACCCAATTTCTTTGTTTAGTAAATGTATTCCTTAATGCGCCCTTGTTTCATTAAGTCGTCGTGCCTCTCACAACATTGATTAAAATCCAGTTCAAGGCCGCTTTATTCAGAAATCGTACTTACGAACGCCAGATATGAACGACTCGATAATTTTATTTTTATTGGCCTCGATCACTTAAAAAGAAATGGAACGGCAATATGTAAATGGCACTATTGTGACGTTATGGATATCTGGGTGACCTTTATATGGTCTCCTCGGAAGAGTCTGCACACCTTTGCGTGCGTGTAGCTCAGGAACTGAAGGGCTTTTAGTCTTATGAAGGGGAGGGTTGTTGACTGCACTAAATGGTGTTAAAGATGTTCATTTCAGTTGAAAACCCCACGGAATTGTAAAACACTCCCTTTAAATTTCGTGCAAATGTTGGAATACTGCGCTGCGAATGTGGAGTCCGAGCCTGGTACTCTCCTGGATAGCCCTGCGCTGCCCGAGGTATATCACAATCGGGGAACTGCAGTTAGAACTCTTTGGCGGATAATTTGAACAGTTTCTAGCATTGTTTTTAGTGCAGTTCTGTTCGCTCTCCAGTCCTGTAACGTGGAAGGTTTTAGCTTCCTAAACGGAGTGTTTCACATGTGCATGGGGCTTTGAACTAAAATTGCCATCTTGCAGATAATTTGGTGCAGATCACAGCCGTGTCCCTCTCAAGACCTAAGCCCCTCTAGGTTATGAGCTACATGCCCGCGAAGATGTGCTGACTATGCCATGTGGACTATTTCAAAATCACCCAGGCGTCCATGACGCCAACATAACGTCATTCAGACCCTGTCATGTCCTTGGCCATGCGGTAATCAAGGCCGAGGATAAGATCCTTGTTGAGTTGGCCATGTTTGTTGTTCGTGAACACCATTTCCAGATGTAATGACCGTCAGTTAATCAGCCGTCAATCAGTTTTGTGCAAGGCACGACGACTCAATGGAGGAATGACGTATTTAGGGATATTTTTTACAAAATACAGAAATTGTGACGTTCAGGGGAGGCTTTTTCTTGAAAGTATACCTATTGTTAGAGTGAGCTTATTTCGTCATATGTAATGCGTGCTTCAACATCTTCAAGTTCTGAGCATTCCCTTTAACCTACAGGGCACGAATACAATCTTTCGGCGTGCGGGATCGCATTGCGCGCAGCGTACCGTAATAGGATCAGAAACTGCGCTGTTGGCGCGACACAGCCGGACGCAACTAGGTGTAGCTGAACACGTTGCCGGCTCTTAGTTCGAGCTAAACGGTAATGATGTCGTGAACAGCGGCAACTGCCTGAGCTTGTGCCGTGTCCCTGTGCTATGTCATGGATTGGTGTGATGTTGGATTACGCAACCGCGACTTTTTGTTGGCAGCCGCCGTCAAGGTTGGTTTAGGTCGGATTCCCGTAACGAGGTCATCATGCCTCCTGGTCGTTGCGTCGCGTTTATTTATTGACTGCGGAACTTGTGATCGGGGTTCATTACGAGTAATACATGATGCTGGCAGTTTGCGCTTCGCTAGTTTTTGTGACGTTCGTGGAAGCTCGGTGCGTTACAGACAACATTATGATCTGTCCATCCTGTGCTAATAATGTGTTGCACGTCGGTGGATGAATTTTTTTAGGCGCCTTCTTACAACCGCAAGTGATCGAGATATCGCATGCTCATTAAACGATGCGGGCCACAGACTTCTTATTAACGCTTGATGATGGTTGGTTATTAAAAAGACGCGATGTGCACATGTGCCGAAACGAAATATTATCACCACCTAGTCGTGTTCGAGATGTAAGTCGTGCCGGCTTAAGGGAGGCCATGACTGAACAGTAGGTGTTCTGAGCGAGGTGTATTTCAATGACGTCCATCACGTTGAAAATAAATCAGACTGTTGTTAACATGTCGAAACCCTCTCTTCCGGCGTAGGCGACCGGCTTGCAAGTAAAGCATGACGTCACATGTGACATTTGATTTATCAGATGGATTTCGATCACGATACCAGGTTCACGATCACGGCCTCGATCACTATTACATATCAGATTAATTTCGATCGCTACATGACGACCACTATCACGATCACGACCACCATAACTTATCAGATAGATTTCGTTATTTGGCGGCAAAGGTGTGCTCCTTGTGGTAGGGAATAATTTTGGTATGATGGCTGGGTAGAAACGCATGTATGCATGAGCACCCTTGGTTCAAAATATCATCTGATGTAAACAAGCTATAATCATCAAGTGATATTTTCACCGAGGCATGATTTCGCTCGGCATTGCTCCTCGAGGCCGCGACTGGTGTCCTCGCTCTCGGCGGCCTGGTGTGATGTCGCCTCCTTTCTGCAGGCATGGTGCGGTACTCCTGCGACCAGTGCGACAGGTCGTACAAGTACAAGGAGTCTCTGTACGCGCACCGCAAGCAGCACCAGGGCCTCACGATCTGCACGCTCTGTCACAAGACGTTCGCCACGGTCGGCCAGCTGAATCGTCACGTTCGCATCAAGCACACCGAGCTGGTGGCGGCCGCGGCCTTCTGAGCATCGCCTGCCGGAAGCCGCGGACGTGTCAGCGACAAACGTGTATAACGTGCACTGCAAGGAGCTGATGCTCGCAGACTAAATGCCGGCCCTGCTTGCGGGGCCTGTCGGCTGTCGCGTGCTCTTGGGGCTGGTGCTCTGAGGGGACTTCTCGGCAGCGTGGGCAGTGATGGTGGGTGAGATGTGAGATGGCGCATGACACATGGCGTACGAGAGTAGGGCGTCAAGTGCTGCCCGTGAACTGAGCCTTGTCAATCCGGGTGGCTGTGCTCCGAACACAAAGCAGGACCTGACATGCGTGGAAGGTAGCGATTTCTTGAGGTTTGTGGTACCCTGGCAGAGTATGTTTTTCGGTGTGCGTCACCTGCAGTGTCATTTAAGTTGAGGCGACGAGTGGAAAATACGCTGCTACATGTCAACTTGCTGCATGTCAACGAAGCCGACTGATGATGTGACGATGATCAGATTGCTGAGCCGTGGATTTTGCGTTTTTGGCTTAATTAGCCTGTAGTATGTGATGCTATATAAAGCTGTGTGGTATTATTTCAGCACCACACGGATCCGTCTGCTACTGGGGAACATTTCGACGGTTTCCAAGGGGATTGCGCCGAGCTTAAGGCGCTGAAATATGTCAGCTCCCAATGTAGTGGACCATAACCTTCAAAGGGACGTGATCGAATAGCAGGTGTTCATGGCCTTTTTTCATGGCCGTTTGCCAGACTTCTTTTCACGTTTGCTCGACGAGGGGCCTCAGGCTCCCGACTAAGGTTTTGAAAAAGGGAGCTGGAGCCGGCAGAAAACGGCATTGTAAAGCTGTCGTGGAACTGCATCGGATAGGCGTGTATGACAAATTTGAAGGTAACCTTGACAGATCAGACTAGGTTAAAAGGTTAAATTTGCACTTTATGGACACTTCTGTTTCCACAAGAATTTAGCGCGCTGCGACAATGCGGAAGACAGCATTGAATAGCCGTTAGAAACTATGATATACCCAATGATGAGATGCGCAAAAACGAATGGGTGAAGGTGATAGCTCCACTGGCCCGCTCTGCTTCATGAAGAGCTAAACGGAACACATCAATAAGAGGAACAGGGTTGGAAAGGCCTTCCAAAGCCATGAGATGTGTGTTATTAAGGTTTTTCATATGCCATTTGAAAGGTCAAAACTGCTCACAAAGGTTATTGGTTGGCCTAGTGTGACTTTGGATGTCTCGGCATGGCAAAAGCCACCAGAACGATAGCGATGTATTCCAGAATGAAAAAAAGAAAGGGGACCTCGAAGGAAAACCAGTGGAGTGCAATTCCCGCGAGAAATACGCGCGACTGATCATTTTTAAGCAAAACCTCACCAACGTGAACTCAAGAATAGGTTATACATCGGGAATATTCAGAGTCAGAAATATCCGATTTCAACAGCACGCGTAGAAATGATTTACACTTGTGCCATGAAAATGCATGCGCTGTTCTGCAAATCGTACAGAAGTTTTTCCCGAAACGTCTGGGTGTCTGAGGGCTTTTCACAGGGCGAAGGTTAACGCAGGTGAACGCGTATTGAGGGCGAAGTAAGGTCACCGATATGCCGCGGCATTATAATTACTGGTAAGAAATCGTGTGCCGTGTAACGTAGCTTCCGCTGACTCTCCAGTTGTGCCTTGTATCGCCGCTTTGAGGTGTTTGGAGCGCTTTTTGTGGCATGCAGCAGCTCTCAGTTTGTCCTGCTTGCCGCAGCTTTCTAGTTTTCCTAAGCTGTCTGTGAATTCTTCAACACGCTGGTGCGTGGATTGTACAGTTCACTGATCAGATATTGCGAGCCTTGCTTATGTTGCCGCAACCGTCGTTCTGCTCATCTGCCAACGTCGATACAGCACGACACGATCTTGCGTCAATACCCCTTTTCAATGAGCCAGTTTGCTATAAAAGAGTATTGCTATTGCTTTGGCGTCAAAGATTTGTTGTTGCAATTTCTCTGTGCTTTGGAATTTCAAGGAACTTTAATTAATATCTAATTTCTGTCACCTTTCTCCTTATGCGGTGTTCTGCTTAGCTGTACACCTGGTCGCGTTCCGCTTAACCGCACGCCTGACCGATATTGGGATCGAATTGCGCGACATGCTCGCATCTATATTTTGTTTTCGCCAGTCGCTGCGTCACAATGATGTGTCACAAGTCGCTTTCACGATTATTAGAGGTCTGGATGCGTTAAAGGTTGTACTCGGTGATAGTTTTACCTTTTCAGAGGCCGTTTCAACAAAATGCTTCTTAAAACGATGACAATTTACGTATTTGATACGCAGGCATTTACAGTAACTGACAGATGTCATTAGTTGCGGCTTTGAGCATAGGGATTCCAAATAACCCATTCGAGAATTTGTCTGTTTGATAACATGTTCGTACCCACTTTCACTAAGTTGAAAATAAGTTCCGACTGCTTTTCGTGCAAGCATAAACGTGTGTTGGTGGTGCGGGTGATGTAACCAGTAGTGTAGAAACTTGGCAATATTCAGCTCTTGGCCCAAATAGATGAAATAGCACGTACCACATGACCACATCGCGGTAGTAACCAGTAGAAGTGCAACCAATTGAGGGGTTGCGGTCATATTGATCATAGCAGCCGCTAACTAATAATTTTTCCATCTCGCCATCGCCCGTGTCTGCACAAAATCATCTTCGCAATCGACCATCTTGGGTGCAAAATGACCGACGTCGACGAGCTCTAAAACTTCAATCATCATAATCATCCACAATCGATTTTCACTGTCATCACTAAATGAAAACGGATTTGGTGGTTTCCACTTGGCGGGGTAATACGAGTGAGAGGGATGTGTTTTCCTTGCGATTTTTTTGTGACGTACTGAGATTTTCTTGCGCTTTGCTATCGCCTGCCCCAAATGCATTGGCGCGGATTCAACTCTACTCAGTTTGGTAAGTAATAACATTGCACGTCGCCAGTGCTGCTTCCTTCGAAACACTGCTTAAAGGGATGAGCACCGTGGTCTGGTGTTTTGACACTCATCTGTGCTTTTCGCCTTGTCAATCAGGGGTTTGCTTTTTCACCGTTGAGCTGGGGATGTGGGTAGTATGAACAGCATTGACTTGAACCGCTATCCCCTTGCTTTTCTGACGTAAACTCCCTTACACGACAATTTGTCATCCTTATTTTAAACCCTGATAGTGTGTCGGCCTCGCATGCTTTCATACCAGAGAGCTTTGAATTTTTCCGTTGCACGGAGTGAAATAATGTCCTTAAGCAATCTCGAGGCGCTGTGCTGGTCCACATCAGACGATTACACTCGGATAATGAGTCAACTGTAAGCCAGGGTGCAACTGTTATTTTCAACAAGTGTCATCTTGCACTTGGGGTGTTTTTCTGCTTTATCTTTGTAGTCAATGGTGCCATAAAATCGTTGGTTTGGCATTAAAGTTGGTGGTCCTCGCGAACGCTTGTGCGGAATAATAACTATTGGGGGACGGAGACTGAGTGGAGCTTCGAAAAAACGCATTGATGCTGGGGCAAGTTCGCGCAGACATGCTAAGCTGCCGTGGCGCACGAGTTAAGGCCGAAAACGTCTCCCATTTCGTTAACATTCCCGGGAGCAGCAATTCATGTTCCATTTGACACCTTCAGCCGAAACTTTCAAGTGTTTAGTTGTTCACACCAACTGTGATTTGCGCGCAAAATTTGGCTGTTTTAGCGGGTTGTTTTTACAACGTAGGGGCCATAACACGATCCAATTTGAACGCTACGGCTTCTGTTCCGCAAAACCTTATACATTTATGGCCGCATTGAATAGGATCTCTGAGCATCCGATGCGTTTGCATATGACATTAGGGTATGCAAGGTTAGGCGTCTGTGGTCGCTGCGATGAGGGCTTCATTATACTTCACCCATGAAGACGTGAAGCCAATTGTACGGGCATTACGTACATTGACCAAGGAAGGGAACAATCGGGGTCGCCCCTCGTCGTACTCATATCGCTTCTTTGTCTCGCCTACCGTCTGTTATAGGCAAACTGTGGGTACTACAATCATCGCGTGTTTTAACGGAAAGATGTAACAAGATGACGCCTCGTGGTGTAGCTAAGTAACTGGAAAGAATACTTCTTCAAGTCTTCAAATGAGATGAAAGCCATAAGACGATACGAATTTGCCTTCCGTTGTATGTTATGTCGTGGTACGTAAAAGATGAACCTGAAGGCGTTGCCTGTGGCCATTTGCGAAGAACATGAGCTGTAGTGTTTCAGAAGGAACACTTATTTCTGCATACACCTGCTAAGATTTCCCGTTTGGTATATGCGCTGAAGTTTCCCACCTGCCATCCAATGACTTGGTATATGTGCCTTGATGACCCCTCAATGTATGTCATGACCATATCGGTGTAACTAGATCGGCGCGTGCATTGTATATTTCCTACCAGCAATTCAATTATTTGGGAGGAAGGGGATCCGAGGTCCATGCACTAAAGGCTTGTGACCTTCCATCTATTGCCACGGGCGTTCAGTGTGATCCTATTGCAATCCTATCCGTGTGTTATCCTATTGTGGCGTATCATTCAGGATGGTGTCGCTGTCATTTTTTTACATCAATGTTCTGAATAGAAAAGTAGCAGTTTTCGTCCATGTTGTACGACTACCTTTGCCTGCGTTTCCAGGTTCGTGCGTGCGCTCGAAATAAGTGACATTATTCGGCGCTTATCTTAATGTTCTGTGTGAAAAATCCGTTTTGCTTACGTCTTTTTTTGTATATGGTTATGATTTTATCGCTGCGTATGTGTCTCATCTTTTTTGTTGTGCAGTGCACATGTGGTCATTTGCGAGGTGGCATCATGGGCGGATGTCTGCGCTGTGCTTCCGCCTCGACTTGCTCCGATGATCGCTGTACAATCCGATAATATAGCGAACGTTGATTGATCAAATTTCGTCTGGAGTCGCCCGCCGGCTGCGAACATATTGTACGTTATATTGCACATTATGTTGTACATTATACATCATTGACTGGTCTTCATTCATGGGTGCGTCACTATGCCTCATGGAATCTGATGTAGGCTACCAAGGACATTTTGAGTAGAGCACTAAGCCAGCTGTGTTCCAACTCCGGTCGCGAAAGAGGACCAGAACATGGTTACCATGTTTAGTTATGACCTGCGCTTAAGTTCCCTCTGGTTTCCTACCCAATGATATAAATGAGCAGTCCCGCTCTGCAGTTAACTTTCTCGTATTCAATGTCCCCGTGTTTCCAACCACTTCTTCCCAAACGTGCAACACCACGTCGCCCCGGTTTCCATTACCACGGATCTACGAAGTGATCTCGCACCCCGTCACTTCACTGCCCGTCACTCAGCGCTAGTATCCACCGCGGCGCTCTGATCATTCCGTCGCCATGCTCGGTGGTGTAACCTCGTCTCCGCCTTCGACAGGCGGCACCGGCGGCCCGGTTTGCAACGTCTGCGGTCGACAGTACTCGCATCGCCAAGCTCTGATGCACCACATCAAAATGCACGAGGGCCGCACGACTTGCCCCCTGTGCGGAAAAGTGCTGGGCCGCATGGCCCACCTGCGCACGCACATGACACTGGTGCACAAAATCTCGCGGGATGATGTGCGGCAGCTGGTGCCCACCCGGCAGCACTATGCGTATCATCCCGAATGACGTTTGGCTTAAGCTGTGCGCCTGCAAGTAATCGTGGTGGCATTTTGATCTGATAACGAAGATTGCCGTCATGGATGCGATGCGCCCTGGCAGGGGTGCTGAATTTTGAACGGATTATATGAGGTGGTATTTGACGTGGAAAGGAGCGTAATGTGTGTTACAAATTATGATTGTGACTGTTACGACTGCTTCCTACTTATTGATCACTGTCTTCCTCCTGTGGTGACTTTGCCTGATTGCCGCCTGGGCGGTCTGTTACCGCGCCATCATTGCGTTGCGCTCCTGCCTACACGATGTTGGAACAAGTATTAATCACTGTCACTGGTGGGAGCGTAGGAGGCACAATACGGCATTTGTACTCTGCTATCTGTGAAAAGAGATAGTTTGTGTGTGTGTGTGTGTGTGTGTGTGTGTGTGTGTGTGTGTGCGTTACTGATGCTCTTTTGTATGTCTAGGATGAGATGTGACATTTGCTTTGTTTTCGAGGGCAGGATCCACATAAAAGTCGTTTCGAAGGGTGACGTTAACTGCATTGAAGGTAAATTAATTGAGACGATGTGCGCTGCAAGTGTGATTGGGTGCGATGAGCTTTAGCATGGCCCATATGGGAGACCGTTACGCGGCAGTGCACTTCATTTATGGCGGTATCTCAGTTCATAACTTTGCGACGAAACACAGGCGCAAACGATCTTTACGTCATCTTCTGCGGACTGGATGTGGCTGAAACCTGTTTTCAGGCTTCCGGTGCTTTACTCCTTCTAGAAAGAACTGAAACCATGTGACCTGGCTGCGTTATGAGTGCAAACAACATGCTATCAAGCTATCGCAAAAGAGGACCTAATTTGAGTGGGCAGGCTTATGGATGCCGCACAGGACACTGCTGCTAAACATGTGGTTATTTAAACTTTTGAAAATTTGCTGTTAAATATGTTTTGTTTTCTACCAATTTGTGTTTTGAGTACTTACAGGACTCCATTTTTCTTTCACACACATACACACACGCTGGCTGCGATGCTATGCGTTGATCGTGGTGTCCAGTAGCTTTTTTGTATTGTTTTGTTTTGTTTTTTGCCACGGAACCACAGAATGTCGTTTTCTACGCTGTGAAAATACTTGCACGCGATGGCCTTTCCCTTTGTGTTGGATTTACTTCGCGAATGCTGCTCGCGGCTGTCTCGGCTGTACTATCATCATGACGAATTGCTAGGGAGTGGTGCATATTTCATTTGTTGTTTTCCAACGTGTTTTGTAAGCAAAGTGAGCCGTGTGCACAAACAGGGATCATGAGCTACACTTTGGTACCGTGCAGCATACAATATTCTGTGTGTGTTTTACACCTGGCTGTCTATAACTGCACGTTCTCTAGAAATACATAGTTGCACACTGTCACTGTCCTGTCACTCTGATATTTGCAGCTGGCTGTAATGCATACACTGACAACGCCAAGTGTGCTGCGGGTGATCGTACTTATTGAGAGTGCGTTGCGTTTTGATATACCCCGAACTTTGTTTTGAATGATATCACGACCGGACATCTTTTTGTTAGGGATGAACTACCCTGTTGATTTCAGTTCATGATGATTTTTTTCCTTGCGCGGCCTCGACCGATTGGCGGACTGAAGCAAACACCACCTCTCCTTTTCGAGCGGAAAGCTTCCCCACCTCTCTTCTCTGCTTCAATACTCAGTCCTAGATATCACTGACCGCACACATTTATCCCGTCAGGATTACAGCCTGTGTGTAGGTGTACTCCAACACGTTGAATTTCAGTCGTCATCTCGTACCGACGCTCGCACTGCCGCGCCGGTTATTTTCGTTCGCGGCAGAAAACCCAGTTTTTGACATCGGTTGTTGCCATTCACAGGCACACATATCACTGACATCAGTGCTGGTGTACAGAGGCACACCCACGCCGCCGAGACCAGATGTTAATGCTGACAGATATTTGCGCTTTTGCCTCAGTTGAAGTTATCAGGGATGGATCCACCCCGCAGACATCAGTTAGCCTGGGGAGGTGCACCCGCATTATTGACACCAATCATCCCCGTCCTCAGAGGCGCACGCGTGCGACATCTGCGGCCGGACGTACGCCCACCGCGTCTCGATGACGCTCCACCGCAAGGTGCACGAGGGCGTGACGCGCTGCACGCTCTGCGGCCGGGTGTGCAGCAAGGTTGCGCACCTGCGCACCCACCTGCACCGGGTGCACAAGCTAAGCGGGCCCGAGGTTCGCCGCCTCGTTCCCACGCGGCCCCGCAGCGTCCCCTACCAGGATGACATCATGTTCGGCCCGCCGGTGTGAAGATCCGTTGCCCTCGCTGCTCAGTCGGGATCTGCCCACGGTGCCGAGGCGAAATCTGTCCGCCGGTGGGGAGTCATGTGCTGTGTTGTACTCGCGCATCGACACAGGACTTACGCTGAACGGTGGTTGAGCGGTGGACTGCTCTTGTGATGGGAGAAGCGGCTGCCGAACGGAGCCCGAGGTTCACGCTCTTGAGTCCTGGCTGGTTTGTCGTTTTTTGTCGGGCTGGCGAGACGAGAACGTGTGGCGGTGAAGAAGGGCTGTCGCGCCGGCATTAAATGCTTTCCCTTCACGCTATGTTTGCCTCTGGTTGTTGCCTGCGCGGGTGCTTAGGGTTTTGATGGACGTTGGACCCGATGCGCTGTGGCTTACAGTGGTGAGTATGGTCCATTGTTGGTGATCTCGATGCGTATCAAGTCCAGCTTGCCAATGATGTAACTTGGGTTACAATCTGGCCCACGGTGAACGTTTTTCATGGATATTGCGTTGTGATTTAGCAGGGCAATTTAATATTCTTTTGTTGATTGTTGCGGGGAATCTTAAGGACTTTGCTCAATAAATTACGGAAATTAGTGAATGGTTTTAGTGGTGCTGTGGAGAGCTATGGACATGATCATCCCCCGACTGGAGTTCCGATGAAATACCAGAACAAGATCCGTTCGACTCGTGCAAAACTATCCCGGTGTCTTCCATTTTCAAATGAATTGTAGTACGCTGCTTATTGTCGTGCAGCGATGGGAAGAAACGGGAAGGTTCTTGGTGCAACGACGAGCCGATTTAGAGGTAGGCATGGTCAGTTGCCTTAGATTATTCTTGGGCACATCTGGAATATCACCGCAGTCCTGCAGTGGTTACGGGCGAAGCTTATCTGGAGCAAACCAATATGCGGTACATCAAGGCCTTGCCTGTGCGTCAAGTGTGCAGTGTGGTTCATGTTGGTCAAATGATCCGAATATATCTCAAACCTTCGGGATCTAGTCGCTTTCTTGGGCGTGGTTTAGATATGTTTGTTATGGCGCTGGCATTGCTCTTTTTACCGCCCGCCGTGTAACTGCTTAGGGAATTACACGCCATTGGTACTGCTTCTGCACCCTACCGACAGATCACCACCAGCAAAACACTTGCAAACATCTTGTGCAAGACGCGAATCCATCCGCACATCCACATCGCGGAGCTGGCGGCCTTTGCATTCACTATCTAACCTTGCTCCCCGTTCCAGGTGGCAGCGTCTGCTCGGTCTGCGGCCGGCGCTTCCAGCACGAGCTGTCGCTGCTGCACCACATGAAGATCCACCAGGGCCTGACGGTGTGCCTGCTCTGCGGTCGTGTCAACAACCGGGTGGCCGACCTGCGGAAGCACCTACGGCTCGTGCATCGGCTCTCGGAGCAGGAAGTGCGCGACCTCGTGCCGAGCTTGCGGCAACGGACCCCGCAGCGACCCGATGGCACCCAGCCCGCCTGCGGCGACGTCTGAGCACGAGGGACCCGGACTGACGCGGACGTGGGAACCGAGCATTGCCAGAGCGCGGGCCGACGGAGAGCCCGAATACGAACCCCGGGGAAAGAAGTGGAAGTGCGGGGACGCTACTACGCTGGGAGGGTGTCTTTCATGATACGCATGTCTTATTCGGTACTCACTCTTCAAGTATACTCTGTGTTGCCTGCCCGCCCTTATGTACTTCACAGACCATTCGGTAGAGGCGCGATTGCTGATTTGGGGAACTTCGAACTTATGCGTAGGAGGCCCGTTAAATTCTTGTTAGAAGCATGGCCACTGAGCGCAATATGACCAGATTGTATATGACGTTTCGTGAAATGACTGAGTGAGTACGTGTACTCAACACGGCTCACCGAAGAATGAATACTTATGGCGACAGGGACTGGCTACGGGAACATCGCTTCCACAACAGGGAGCCGAGTACTGTCGTGGTTGGGCTTCTCACAGGTGCCGTGCGACAGAGAGGTCACTTGATGACCCTGTGTTAATCCTTTGAGTTTTTCAAATGCCGCACTTTGCTTCACTCAGAGCTGACAGAGCCGTCCGTCCTTTATAGATGTTGTACAGACACATGACTGCACGGCGTTTGGCGAACGCCAGTCGAATGAAGTGACTAAGTTTGTGTATGTGGTCCAGTGCTTAAGCCATCTCTCAGTTTCAAAGATGCAACTTCGTCAGCAATACATGGGAACTTTCCGTGATTGTGGAGAAGGAGGCGGCACGCCGAATTGTCAACCGCTCGAGTTTTGGGCCGTGCAGGCTCACATTCGGTAGACAACCGCAGCTCGTACCGAGGCGAATTTGATGGTCAGAGGATGTGTGAAACGTTGGAAATGCTTGAAGTGGGAGACCACGTTGTAATGTGTTCTTTTTGTAGCATACGCTGGTCGTTTCCAATAAAACAGTCAGTTCTGCGTATAAACTTGTGCAGGCAGGTATTTCTGTATTTTGGCTAACGCTGCTTCTAGGTAGTAAAGGACATAATCGTTTGCGTTTTAAGAATTTTGCAGTCTATTGCATGCTTTTCTCATCTTTGTGTAATACTTCATTGTTAAACATCGGACACCACACTTATTGACGTTTATTTTGGGTTACATGGGATTACCGATAGTCGTTGTTAGGCACTCTCATGCAACGCTTATGAGATGCGCGTGAGTTGTCATTTTGGCATTTTGGAGTTGCCACCACATTTCGGTGGTGAATAGAGAAGTGGTGGTACCACTGCTTGAGAGAGATTTTGCATTTCTTACACTGTAAGTGTAAATGAATCTCAGCTCTGTGCTTTTAAAGACAAAATACGGGGTTGTCCAGATTTATTGTCCAGATTTATCAACAAGCGTATACCATTTCATGGTTTTGTGCTGATAGGAAATACAAACGTTTCAGCCTGATCTTTTTGGGCTGACGGTATTATGATTGTAAACCACGATCATGGCACACTGTGAACATAATTTCCGAGTGCTTCCATGTCGTTGATAGTAGCTCTAGACAGGTGATCGTCTTGAATTACCATTATTTCCTTGATATTTATTTTTGAATGTAGGTGAAGTCAAATGATCGCCATAACACAACTGACCGGACCTGGATTCCAAACGTGAAGGCGTCTAAAATTATTGGGCGCAGTTTCCAGCTCAACTCAGTATCACAAAAGCAAAAAATGGTGACCTTCCCCAACCCATCTCTGAGATTTGCCGTGGCCCGCGCGGTGCGCAAAGTGCTTCACCACCGCCAGCGCATGCGCAAAGCTCTTCACCACCCTCACCGCCGCTCTTGTCGGCAGGTCGACGTTTACACCGCTGTCAGATCTGCACCAGTACCTACACCAACCAGCGCTCACTGGCATTTCACATGCAGAAGCATGCGGGCCGCACCACCTGCCCCGTGTGTGGCAAGGTCTGCAGCATGGTGCACAACCTGCGCTCCCACATGGCCTCCATGCACCGGCTGAGCGCCGACGAGGTCGCCGACATGCTGGGCAGACCGCGCCGATCCGCTGTCACCTGGATACCGCGGACCAGCTGGAACCAGCCGCAGCAGTACCAGCAGCAGCACCAGCAGCAGCAGCAGCAACAGCAGCAACAGCAGCAACAGCAACAGCTCAGCGGGCCGGAGCAGCAGCAGCACCATCAGCAGCACTACCAGCACGAAGCAAGCAGCGGGGCGGAGGACAATCTTTTGAGCTAGGTCGTGAAGTGCAGACCCACCAGCAGCAGCAGGGGTTCAGAGAACTTGCCGAACAGCAGGAGCAGCGACAACTTATGGCAGCGAACAAGGCGGCGTCGTCTGCCGGACAGTGAGAGACAGTGTAAGGGCGTGTGGGTAGGGTGCCTGCGCGGAGCACTCGCCTCCAACTACCGGGATGATAGGCAAGCCCGGTGGGATGTGGGATGTAATGGGCGGGATGTTGAACAGATCGGGCGGACAGTGGGACAGACGAGGCCAGGTGGGATGTGGACCGTGATGAGTTGGAAGAGGGTGGCGCTGGTGGGAACGTTTCAAAACGTTTCGGGTACAGTACGCCGTGCGCAGTGCGCACGTACCCGGGATAATCCGCGTTTGATGATTGAACGAACTAAGCGTTGCAGACTTGGCCGTCGTTTTCCCTAGTAATATTACTCGTGGATGCGTGGCTGGCTCACCGTCCATGCTGCTGTTTATGCGTGCAGTACGATGCAATGTACGGCCCGGCACAAACACATCCGATTGTTGGTTGCCGGCAACGATCATGATGTTCCATTTGGAATGTCATGGCACAACGTCTCCGGTCTTAGCCACGAGGTTCATATTCTGCACAGTTCAGTGCGTACCAGTGCAGTTTAATTTCGTTCTGTACAGGATCATGTCGCTCGGATCAAGCTGCATGATATGTCTCATGAAAGTGCCTTATTCATCAGACATTGGGATGGGCGCAGATGTACCCGCATGCCTGCGACGGTGTATATAGCCCGCTGATTTTGTTTCTGGTTACAATAGCGCCGATGTATGCAGCACTCAGCCGAGATTTTAAGCGGAATTTTGTGAGACTGCAAAAATCTTGCAAAATTTTGTAATTTTGTAAGATTTTTTTAGATAATCCCGTAATTTGTGTTCATCGACACCAGGACCTGAATCGCATTGCATGCCATGAATGGAGACGTTGCGTTGATTTATCGATGCCTGTGACCTGGAGTGACCCCATGTTGACCTCAAAAACAAAAATTCCGAAACCACTGAAACTCCGAGGCACGCCAGTGGTCACTGGGTCGAGCATCATTAGGAGCTCTAAGGTTGTTAACCCTTTCAAGTAAAATATGTGGTGATTGGCTTATTGCGGCACGTGCGCTGTGCCGAACTTGTTTATTGGCTTATCGCAGCACGTGTGCTGTACCGAACTTGCTTATTGGCTTAATCCAGATGAGAAGGATAATCCGGACAGAGCCAGGATAACAGGCCTATACAACCAGTGTAATACGCTAACGTGTGTAGGTCTCAAAGCGACTCGTTGAGCCGCGATACCAACATCGATATAGCTGTTCGCTGGTGGTCTGAATGCTATGTAGATATGCGCATGCCCCAAGAACACGTTGACAGGACCCATTGGTATCGTACATATGGCTCGTCAGCAGGCGTAAGTGAATTAGTCAGTATGTAATACACGCTTGGTCCAAGTTGCACGGATTTTCTTGCACTTTGACCTGCATCTGAAGTATGTTGCGTCAGCAATTGGCTTGGCGTCACAATTGCTTTGGTCCGAAGCAGAGCAGAAATAATTTCGACTTCATGCGAGACGGCAAGGATTGTTGTGCGATTTGCTGCCTCAGGGATTTCCTTTATCACCCATCCACCAGTATCGCACAATATTTTTTTTGGGGGGGGACTGCTTTCAATAGCATTTGGGTAAGGGAGACCGGCCGCGCTGTTAGCGTGATGATTACCTCGCCTCTTGTTCTCGCAGCTGAGAAGCTTTGTGAACAGTTTGGAACGAGACCATTCAAATACTGTATCTGGTAATTTGACCCGAGTGCGCTTCAGCCCAGAAAATATTGAAGGCGTAGAAAATGACGACCCATTGGCGAGAAATTCAGAAATGATATTCGTTGGTGCCACATACGGTTCTGCCAACGTAATATATGTACTACCTAAATCAGGAAATATTTGCTGCACATTTGTTTTACCATCCCGAGGCGCTTCACCTGCTGTCACTTTTCGGTCCTTTTGTCTTGCTCTGCGGATTATTGCCGCACTCATGGCTCTTCATTCTAGGTGTGCCCGCCTGTTTTGCATCTCAGTTCTTGCCCATAAAAAGACGCCTCAACTTTACAACCGACCCTGACTGACTTATGAGCCGTCTCGCTGTGAAGACCTCCCAATTACCTCTTCGTCCGAAGGATGTTCTGATTATGTACCTCCAAAATACCTCAACGTGGGGAGAACGTGCGATCTCTGGTGTTCGACTGTTTATCAGTGGAGACGTTTAGAGGAAGTATTCCACGATGCATGGGGTTTTGCACTAAAGTAGCCGTCTTGAAGATTATTTGGCGCAGTTCATAGACCTATCCCTTTTTAAATTCAATCCCCTCTAGTTTCCAAGCTACATATCTGCAAAGATGTGCAGACTATATCGTGCTAATTATTTCAAGATCATTCAGGCATACACGGCGCTATAAAATGCTATTCAAATTCTGACATACCATGCCATCTGGACAAAAGAATATATATTTGTCGAATCGTTCATATCCGGCACGGCTTCCCAATATAACGGACGTCGATTGGCTCTGTATCAACGTCGTGCAGACTGTGCAAGTTTCAATCAGGAATCACATTGTGTGCTAAATATTAACGCAAGTTGGACATGGGTCCCAGTCATAACGGAGATAACACTTGTACTGTAATAACTTGAGGATAGCGCCGTAACGGAGCATGTGAATGCAAATAAACACCTAGAGCAGAACCTCAACGTCATAAAGCGTTTTTGACGCAACCAAACAACAAAGTGCTGAGAACTGCCTTCAGTTATTGAGCAAATGTGTTGTCTAGAGCAGTCTTTTCCTCTTAAAATGTAACAACAGCTGTAAGTGAGCCTATTTTAGCACGTGCGGTGCTTGCTTCAGTATCTTCAACTGTGCAACATTCTCTTGAACCCCGTAATGAGCACCTCGTCGCTGTGTTCCCTGACCCACGTTTCCCGGCTCGGTCGATTGCATTCGTCTGATGCTGCGGCCGGTCCCGTAAGCTTCCACTCTGTCGGTAGCAACCTTACACAGGCACCAGAGCCTCACGGTGTGCCCCGACTGTGGGAAAGTCTCCAGCACGGCACGGTCCTAGCACTGCGCCGCTTTATACAGGGCGGCGTCCACAAGATGACCCCAGCGGAGGTAGGCAGCATTCTCCCGGCCAGACATTTGGTTGGTTGTGGGAGAACGGAGAGCACACCCAGTGATTGCCTGATCTCGGTTGGTTTGGTGTTGTACGCGTCACGAGTTTTACAAGAAGCAAGTTACATAAACTCGGTGCGTGCCGGGTTGGACGCATGAAGCGTTTTGTCTTCTTTGTTCCCTTCTCATACTACGTTCTCTTGGCGGAATGAAATGTGGTTATTGGTGCAGTTAGGTCCTACCCATTTGCCGGTATCCCCGGATGCCAGAGATCTTACACGGCGCGGCAAATCAATCGGAGAATCTTATCTCATCTCAGGAGAGTCAGGAGAATCTTAGTGCGCGCCGTGCATCTGAGGTGTAACACAATCTCGTTGTGGAGTACAGCTCTCTTCAGAGAGTCGCAAAGGGCACCGCGAATCTGACCCCAAGCGCCTTACGAGTCGGAGAACCTCAAAATCGACATACGTGTGTCGGAACTACAGCCAGGCCACTGGAACCCGCTTTTTCCCCAGGAGTACTCGGGGAAGCGCTAGGGTACCACCTTATGTGCTGTCCACGTGCTCAAGCCTACATCGCGGTCAGCGGTCTTCGTTGACGCGCGTGAACAGCCCGGCGCGCCCGCGTTAAGTCCAATGCGCCCGCGAACAGCCCGGCGCGCCACCGTGTATAGGTGACCTTGACCTTGAAATAGTCTGCAGGAAACACCCTGCACATCTTTGCTGGCGTGCAGTTCAGAAACTAGACCTGTGTAGGTCTTAAGAAGGACGGGGCTATGAACTGCACCGAACGATCTTCAAGATTGTTATTTCAGTTCAAAAACTCCTACAAATGCGGAAGGCACAAGTTTACTCGTGCCTTCTCTCGTCATATCCTTGGTTGGCGAAGGACTTCACTTGTTGAATACCTGTCAGTTAACAATACATACTGATTAACGGTACCTGCCTACCTTTTCTCACCCACACAGTCACATCGCTTCGCACAATCGTATGGAGGGCACCCCGAAAAGGAGATGCTTTATCTGATAATTCACACTACCGAGTTCCGGGTTTGCTTGAGTGCTTGCATAGGGATGCATTTGTTCCTTACCGCGAGGGGTTTGTTTGTTGTCGATGACCTAAGTGATGGGGTACACTGAGAGGCGAGTGAAACACAGTGGCGTGCTTCGTGCCTGGAAAAGTGTTTGGGTTGCACTCACAACCACCGGATTGCGGCAGGTGACATTCTATCGAGAAATTTGCCGTCACAGTCCAGCTTTGCAGCAATGTCAAGTCGTAACTTGACCTTGCTGTCGTCGTAACAGTCGTAAGTCTTAACAGCTTTGCGGCTTTTGTCAAAGAAAGCTCGTAACTATGACAACTTTATTTGGCGGACAATTGTTTTGAGTTCATGTCACTTCACTGCTCCGCAATGAACACGGTTTCGTGACCGCAGTTGGATGCATTTTCGTCTGGTTATTGTCACTGGCATTCGGCGCTTGCCGTTCTCTGGAGAGTTTTTAGAGAAGGAATTGAACTCAGCAGCTTTTTCCGTGATGAAAACCATCTTGTCACCGATAGAAATGTTTGAACGACTAGTTTTTTAAACAGATAAATTCGTACATCGATGGACCTGAACGAAACGGATATCAATGAGAGTAGGAGAACCATTTTACAGCCTACACACAGCTTCAAGTCGGCGTTTAGGCCACACCACCAACGCTCCGTCTCCCTTGGTTGCACCCACAGCTCAACCTGACCGCAGTTTCTAACCCAGCTCTGCCCTTCTCTTCTCCAGGGCCAACTTACTTGTGCAACGACTGTGGTCGGAGTTACACCAACCCGCTGTCTCTGCATAGTCACCTTAAGAAGCACCAGGGCCTCACCACCTGTCTCATCTGCGGCCTCACATACAGCACAGTCCACAGTCTCCGCCGGCACATGGAGAGCATCCACAAAATGGCGGCGGCCGACGTGCGTGTGTGCGTGCCCACCAGGCGCTATATTCACAGTGTTGTGCCGGAGGACGTAAGCGCGCGGCTCGCAGCCTCGGGGGACAGACGCGAGGGCTTTGCAGCCTCTGAGGACGTAAGCGATCGGCTTGCGGCCTCGGAGGACTTCAGCGAGCGAGTTGCAGGCTCTGAGGACGTGAGCGAGGGAGTTGCAGCCTCGGATGACTTAAGCGAGTGACTCGCAGCTTCGGAGGACGTGAGCGAGCGAATTGCAGCATCGGAGGACATTAACAAGCGACTCACATCCTCGGGAGACCGAAGCGAGCGACTCACAACCTCGGAAGACCGAAGCGAGCGACTCACAACCTCGGGAGACCGAAGCGAGCGACTCACAACCTCGGGAGACCGAAGCGAGCGACTCACAACCTCGGGAGACCGAAGCGAGTGACTCACAACCTCGGGAGACCGAAGCGAGCGACTCACAACCTCGGGAGACCGAAGCGAGCGACTCGCGGAAACGTAGATCGGTCAAAAGTTAGGTAATCGTGAACGAGGAGAACGTTGGCGAACGGCTTGTGGGCACAACAGACCTTTGCGGGTCGCAGTTGCTGAGAACGCTGGCTAGCAACTCTCACAGGCGGAGAACTTCGTGGAAAAAGCTGGCAGAACCGTGAAGGCACTGGCGTGCGCCGCTTAGTTTGCGAACTTGGTCGCATTTCTGTGCGTTTTTTTTTTTTTTTTTTTTGTTAGGAATGCGCGTCGCATGACTGCCGCCGGCTTTGTGATTGAAAGGTTAGCTCACAGGTAATGTTTGACATGGACGTTTCAATAGAAATGTTTTGTTTTTTTCTTCACCGTGATGGCATATCGATGTAAGGGTATATAACTTTCAAGCTATGTTTCGATAGTATCGAAGGAGGAGAGGCTGTGACCTGCCAAGTGTGCGCAAAGGAGAAGCGGTGTAACTCCCGTCTGACATAAGATTACCATCTCTTTTTCTTGGATCGTATGGTTGTATATTTGGCCAAACGGCAGTGGTCGAGTGTCAGCGCTTGGTGCTGGTTAACTTACTGCCATCATTAGTGAACATTTGAAGTGTAATTAATATACGTTTAGCCAAAGCGTCACGGGCAATTTCCTTTTGCGCATTGCTCTGCACTGGTGACATGCTGTGCCATCTCAAGGAAGATTGATGGGGTGTATCGGACCCCATGCTTGGTCAACAGGGTTGCCGTCTTGGTCAGCGTTTCCTCTTCACACAAAACTCAGTCAGAAAAACCTAATTTGTCAAATTTCAAAGCGATCTTTCTGCATAGCGATTACAGAGACCGCGTTGTAACTCCCGTCTAGCATAGGATTACCATGTTTTGTTTCTTGGGTCGTCTGATTGTATATTTAGCCGCTTGCGGCAGCTGTTGAGGGCCAGAGTTTGGTGTTGGTGAGCTTTGCACCGTCATCAGTGAACATTTGGAACATAATTAATATGCGGTTTACGATGCTGCCTCGAGCAATTTCTTTCCACGTGTCGCTCTGCCACCGGTGACCTGCTGTCATCTCAAGAACGATTGATGGGGTGTTTCGTATCCCATGCCTGGTCGACAGGGTTAATTTTTTGGCCACTATTTCCTCTTCACGCAAAGCTTAGCCAGAAAGAGCTAATCTTTGAAAGTTCAAGCAGTTTTCATGGACAACGGTTACAGAGCCGCGTTGCAGAGCAGCAGCCGCACTCGTCCGCTGGCCTACTCCGGCACGGCCGGACAACACCGACGAACGGCTGTTTGTTTGCGGCAGTTGTCCTACGGCTTTTTGAGGCCACGCTGCACATCACAGTAGAACAACAGAGTCAGCGTGGCACCATGTCTCACGCGGAAGCAGATATCTGTTTCTCTGTTGCAGACAATCCCAATTTGTAAGTGTCATTGCCTTACTTTTAGATGTTTGCGTGACCCACGGTGTCAAAATAGGCTCCCTTTGTTCCCTTCATCTGGCATACCTGACCTAGCTTGACTTTCAGCGATCTGAAATCCTTTGTGGTTTAGTTGTGCCATGGTGCACCCAATCGGACGCAACTTTCAGTAACACAGAGCTTACAATTTTATCATGCTCGGGAAACCAAAGCTATCTAGCGGCGATACGTACTCTCCACTCACACATTTCTGACAAAAGCTCGTATATTGTCGATGGCTGGTAAGCCAGAATATTTCACGTATTGTCAGGACAAGGCAAGCAATTCATGTCTTAGCAACGGAAAAATTATCAAAATGATCATGATTGAAAATATGAGATCAATTTAGTAAGCATAGATCGCAGCAAGCGGTTCGAGATTCATGTGCCGGGAAAGCTTAAACCGTACGTAATCGCCTCATGCACCACATTCTCAGTTTTGTGTAAAGATATTGCTCTAGTTGAACGCTTCTTTATTGTGATTGTCTGGTCCGCTGACTTCCCCTTTCTGGTCTCGGCATTTCACGTGGGTTCTGACCTTGGTCTCTGCGTCCTCAGGGTCAACCCACTGCTGCGTCGAATGCGGCCAGAGCTATACCAACCCGCACACCCTGCAGCGGCACTTGAAGAAGCACCAGGGCCTGACGACCTGTCCCGTTTGCAACAAGGTCTGCAGCATGGTGCACAACCTGCGACAGCACATGCGGACCGTGCACCGGATGAGCCCTGAAGAGGTCCACGCGCGCATTCCGACCAGGAAGCTGGCCTTGGACGCGGGCGCCGGGAGCCTGGGGGCCTGCCACGCGACCGCCGAGAACATCAGTCCCTGGGGCGGAGGTGGAGAGTCATAGTGGAGCGTCTTAGAGAATCGAAGACAGCCAGGGTTACGGAAGATCTGCGTGATCGCTGTAGACGCGGCCAGCTTAGTCGTGGTCCCTGAACGGGGTGGAACACGCGGGTGCTCTTGAAGAGTCGGTCGGCGCTGCCTGACGGTTGGCGACTTCGACGTACCATGCGTGTCAAGAAACGTTCAACATGGATACATAATGGTTGGGAACGATAGATATAGAAAGATGAGGAACACCGTTCATCGTAGAGAATGTTCAACGGCGGGCAGGTTTGGTGGCATTTTGACGCGTAAAAGCTTTCCCTTGGGCTCCTAGAACGCGAAGATGCTGTTTGTTGCCGTTTTTTGCTCGTCGTTTTGGTACTACATGATTTACTTGATCCAGCTTTAGACCATCCCGCTTTGTCAGTTTAGTCTGTGGTTGGCTGTTATTCTGACGACAGAGAAACCTCTCAACATCAAACGATAACGGCTCTCAGTGCCTCCGGAACATTTTATGTCGCATGGCTAGGACCAAGCACTCTGCAATGAACGTTTTCCAGTGGAGAAATAAACACATAGTGATGGTTCGCGGTATCTTTATGCTCTACAGCTGTCAATTGTCAGCACCGGGCCTGCCAGGACGAAGGGCTTCCGGTCCTCGACCTCGCTTTGGTCGCCTGTGCCGTCAAAATCGTCAGAAGGTGAAGCATAAGCCTCGCACACGTACAGAGCTCGGCCTAGTTTCCGCTGCGCGTCGGACCGTGCCGCAGCATGGAAGCACGCTGTACGTTCAACATATCCTCGGGGTTGACTACGGGCGGTTGGGGTCAAGGATGCCGCGCCCCATTGGACTCGATTACTGAGGTTATACGGAAGTTTGACGTCAGTAGGCTATGATCCCATGATGCGAATGTTAAAGGTTAAGATTATTACAAGCCGTGGGGAGGTGACGCCGGTCCTACCTTCGCAATCACTTCCAAAGCGTCAGTCTCACTGACCGCACCGGTACCTCGAAAGTCTCCTCTAAACTTCCATACAGTATCAATGGTATTCCAGGTATCCACGTAAGGGTCCCTTCTCTTCAGCGTGTTCGCGAACGATCTGAGTCATTTCGCGGAGGACGCTCTGATGGCCCAGTGCGCGGAAGATATCGGGTGGCCCCAAATCTCATATTGCATAATCGATCGTTTGCAGAATGTCTTGGCCTCACTTGACTGGTTCAGATTAAACGACCTTAACCTGCGCCCAGTGGCCGGTTAAACACCATTCGCTCAGCTGTCGGTCAATTTGCCCCCTAACGTTTCAAAAATCAAAAGAGGTAAAAAGTACACCGAAGTGACAGGATGGGTTGGCCTTTATGTGAAAGCACTCGCTTCTGAATGTAAGGCCCATCGGCTATGACCTTGGGGTCAAATAAGGTAAGGCAAGGTAAAGCTCGTGATTGGTGTCCAAAGTGCCCCTAGACCTCCTCATACAACCGTCTTGAACCTTTTTTCCAAACGAGCAAAAGCGAAAGCAAACGATCACTAGTGTTCATTTTAGGCCAGTCGTCTTGTTTAACCTTTCGGAAAGTCATGGTGACCAAACATCTATGACACTGTTCTCATTTCTTAATTTGAAGAAGCGTTAAGGATTCTGCTAGGTTGTACGATCCTAAAAACTAGGGCTGATTGGTCATTTCAGATCAGTGAACTTCTTTGACCTTAAGGAAGTCCATTGAAAGTGTCTGTTGAACTCCCTGTTTTCGATAAACTCGAAGTGAGCATCACAAACTATCTCATAAAGCAAGCTTTCCAGTACAAAAGCAGGTTGGTTTTCACCTCAGTATGACCTTTATACCTCACCCTGGGTAAATGAAATCTGTTGTTCTTCCAAATTTAACTGTTTTTGGCTCGAAAAACTACGTAATAGATATATGGCTTCGTTTAACACTCTTATCAGGTTGACTGATTCCATCAGGATTCCATTATTCTATCAGGTTGACTGATTCCATCAAATTACCTTCGCTGACAGCTATGGCCTAATTTGGACCTGCCATAGGTCATTGCCCTTGCAAGTTACATCTATTGCTGTGAAGCAGAAGATCTGCTATCCAATTGTCTACAGCTATGCAACGTTTGACATTTCTGCGCCGCGCCGCTAGGGAATCATATTGTAAAACCTTCGGGGGTCAAACTGACCCCACCCGAGCGCGCCGTAAATCAGTGCCGTTAAGGCTGCGGATGCTGCTTGGAAACCAACAAAATCTCCGCACCGTTCCCCACTCCACTGTCAATTTTTGCAACAACCTTCGTGTCCCTTATTTTGGAGCGAAAATCTCGAACTTGTGGTTGATCGCAACCCATGATAGAATCCACTCGTACCGCTCGTCAGTAAACGCTGTTTCGGTATTTTAGCCTGTCATGTTACATTTATTATTTCATATTTATTATTTCAATTATAATTATTTAGTCATTTCATTAATTGTTTCATGTTATTTATAATTGGATTGTATTACTCATTTAATTTACTATTTCAATTATAATTTCATATTCATTCCTACCTGGAGCACGGCTTACCTGCCAGTGTCCATGCAGCGGATTCATTACTGGTGTGCTTGTGCGTATGCTTCAGGGTGTTTCGTTTTTGAGCGTCCGTCTTTGTCTTCATTACCTTTTAGCTTCACATTTATCCGCGACGATGAAAACTTACAGCCCGTGATGTACTCGTCCAAATGCACACCATTCACTCATGTTATTCATTCGCCGATGGTCCTGAGCTCCCTACACCAGGCGGGACGACCTTCAATGTCTCCTGACTTTTCCGTCTGGTGGTCTGACAATCTTTGACGTCAAGTATTTTTAGCGTTCCGACTAACATCAAATTAACAGATGAGCATCTGTCGCGATCGTGACCGTGGTGACCGCAATTCCGCAAACGTCGCAAACGTGCAAACGTTCAAAACGTTGCTCCAGATATCAAACGCTGCTCCAGATAAAGCTCCAGATATCAAACGTTGCTCCAGACAAAGCTCCAGATATCAAACGTTGCTCCAGACAAAGCTCCAGATATCAAACGTTGCTCTGGACAAAGCTCCGAACATCAAACTTTGCTCCGGATAAGGCTCCGAACATCAAACTTTGCTCCGGACAAAGCTCCGAACATCAAACTTTGCTCCGGACAAAGCTCCGAACATCAAACGTTGTTCTGGACAAAGCTCCGGATATCAAACTTTGCTCCGGACAAAGCTCCGGACATCACACGTTGCTCTGGGCAAACCTACCGACATCAAACGTCGCTCCGGACAAAGCTCCGGACATCGAACGTTACTCCGGACAAAGCTCCGGAAATCCAGAGGAGAGTCACCCCAGCTGCATGCTGGTTCTCTATCAGCATCGGCGTGTCTGTGCTTTGCTGTGCTATTAGTGTAACAACTGCAGTCGTCTAACTCTTTCTAATGCCTGTTCAGGGCGCACACACTCAAACCTTTTCTCACCGTGACTTTGCCTCGAATCTCAGCTCGCTTGTGCGCTGATGTCGGTGTCACGTGCTCACGGGTGCGACGTTCACTCGCACGCACGCACACGCACACATGCACGTGCACGCGCACGCAAGTGCACATGTATCCACGCATGCACGCACGCCCACATGCACGCACGCACGTACGTAAGCACACATGTGCGCGCGCACGTACGCACGCACGCACGCACGCACGCACGCACGCACACAGGTACATTATTCACAAGCTTCAATGAGGAACATCGACTGGGAAGTGCTTTTGAATTGAATTTCTGTCAGTATCCCTGGCGAAGAAAATATCCCTTCTAATGTAATTTACGGTTAACTACATGATCAAATACACGGATTACGGAACACAAACTGTCTGCTAGTTCCCAAAATCTAGCCGGAAGGCTTAGCAAAAGCGACACGAACATCAAAACCAGCCCGAAGTTCTCGCGCGCGATGTCGCCGCCTTCACCGCACACGTAAATGCCGGCAGCACAATAGCGCAGGGTAGCGTGTCACTGGTGCCGGTCAACATTCAACGATAGCGAAGTTTGTTTGTTGCTTTTTTGCTAGGATTCATTCATTAATATTCACACATCAGAATTTTCACATCTAGTTGAAAAACGCAATTCCAGCACCGTATGAGACAGCAACATCATTTCGCATCGCCATCACATCACACACATCATCACTTCACACTTATAACAGGCTCCTGATCACACTTCGTCCTCTCAATATGCCAGTTTTATAACTCGAGCTGATCCCCCCCCCCCCCCCGCTCATCTCACATCTCTTTGCCCTCACAAACAAGACATACCTCTGTCGACTTGGCGTTCTCATTTGTATTCACTCGTTTTTGACGTCATAGTTTTGTCATCATTAGTTGGTACGAGATCCGCCGTATTGCACTAGATCCTCTCATTTCATTACTTTTGTGTTCTTGTATTGCATTTTGTATGCACTTTGTGTCCAGTAGCGGTTTATAATCCGTAATAACTGTGCTTAAGTACTTTTTAGTAACGGTTTTGGTCCCTTTAGACCCATATAACTTGGTTTCACACCGTGCCGAATAGCTTGCGCATTTCAGTGCATTGTTTTATCAAGATAGAAATGAAGGTGTGGTGATGTCTAAGTTTTCGCCATTACTTAACCAACTTTTAGCTCCGTGGGAACCATATCTTTTTTCAGTGGTTCTGAAGGAACGTCATGTTGTTTTCATAACTTTATCAGCATTCGTGATCCCATTGCAGGCCGTTGGCGGGCATGGCTTTATCGCCAAATTAAGCGACTTTTTTCAATGGCCCCCTACGTTGTAAATCATATTGCCCGAGATCTTTTAATGATAACGTTGTTGCCATTTAAAGCCAAAGTCATATCAAGAAGTCCTCAGGGGAACATCTAAAAGTACATGACCTCAGCTAGCTTTCCTCATGGTAAGAATGTTTGTGCCTACAAAAAGTCCGTTAGCTCAAACGCAGCCAGCATCAAGGTCGTGCGAGACCACAATTCACCTCAGGTGGTCTTATATCAAAGCTCGGAAGTATAGGCCGTACGCTTTTATTTGCATCAGTTTTTCCCTGTGAGTATATGAAAGCTACATGTGGAGGGCAAGAGCGTGCCTTGACCTCGTTGAACCCCACCTGACCAGCCATTCAAAGGAAGCGCCGCAAAGCAGCACTGTCAAGTTATAGATGACGTACAAAGAAACTACCACGATTTTGTAAATCCCGCCCAAGCGTGGAATAGGCAGGGGGTCTTTCATTTACCCTTCTGAAGGTAGCGGAACGCCAGACTTAACAACTGACGAGGGCGGAGACACGCAGTAGAGGCTTTAGCACCAAAGCTGCTCGACGGTGAACTGCTTTGTCCATCGGACTGTGAAAGTTGGCAGGTTCCATGTTGTTTGCCCCCGTGCCCGCACTCTGAACCCCATCTCCGCTTCCCCAGGGCCCGTCCACGTCTGCACCGACTGCGGCCAGGCGTACACCAACCCGCAGTCGCTGCTCCAGCACCTGAAGAAGCACCAGGGCCTGACGACCTGCCCCGTATGCTACAAAGTCTGCAGCATGGTGCACAACCTGAGGCAGCACATGCAGGCCGTGCACAGGATGACTCCGGCCGAGGTCCGTGCTCGTATCCCGACCCGGAAGTCGGCCCAGGGAGCCGTCACCGAGAACGTCGGCGAACATCGCGCAGCCGCGGAGAACACCAACTCCTGGTTTGGATATGGAGAACGTTAGCTCCCGGAATGGATGGGCAGAAGCACGGTGAGACACCCGAGAACGCGAGTGGCCTCGGGGAAAGGTCTCATCGCATAGCTCACGTTATAGAACGGCGTGCAAGCGCAGAGAGACTTACAAAGCCGTCTGTTGACGCGGAGGACCTTTGGACGTGACGCATAGACGCTGGGAATCTTAATCGCCCTCCACAGGCGTGTAGAGCCCCAGATAGCGACGCGCCGAAATAGGAAAGTTTTAGAGTAACCTGCGGACGTTGAGAACCCTTGGAAAGTTATTTAGACGCGACCGTCATTGATCCAGTCTAACAATTCTGAGAGCTGCAGACAGGTTTTCACGTAGAAAACCCATGAGAACCTTAATTCCGGGTCGCACGTGAACGTAGATATCGTCTGCGCTATTGTCGATATGAAGAATTGTGTGGGGTTCTTCAGTGAGTGTTTCTTTCTAATGAATTGAGTGACTGTTCACGCTATGACCACCGGCCTTATGGTTTTGCAGCTTCAGTTCAAGGCACTGTTTCAACTTTGGACACGCTAAACAGAGACCGCTGGGTCATTAGTGTTTATAATCTATGCTCTAATTTGTTGTGTATGTGTGCATTATTCCCATTGGATTTCAGTGCAAATAATATGGATTTGTTGGAGGAGAAGGGTGTCTATGTTTCAACCTGGGTGCGTTCACGAGCAGCCGCACATGACCAAGACATCGCTCAACCTGACCCGAGCGCTGAACTCACCGACTTTCGTACATGCGGTTGCGCGGAAACTGACTGTTGTGCATGCGGTGGCGCGGAAACTGATTGTTGTGCATGCGGTGGCTCTGGAACTGACTTGTGCAAGCGGCGGCGCGGGAACTGGGTGTTGTACATGCGGTGGCGCGTGAACCGACTGTTGTACATGCGGTGGCGCGGAAACTGACTGTCGCTCATGCGGTGGCGCGTGAACCGACTGTTGTACATGCGGTGGCGCGGAAACTGACTGTTGTGCGACCTGGCAGACACGAGATTGGAATAATCCATGGTGTCAAACGGATTGCCTCATCGACTTGAAAATACGTTGTCAGCATTACGAAGGTTACCGATATTGTCAGCACGAGGAAAGTGTATTTTATATTTGACCCCGAACACACGGCCGCACAAAGCTCAACAACATTTTCAAAGGAAGACAAGTGTTTTTAGCACGTACTGGAACAGAAGGGGACAAAGTTCAATTCAGGGGTGTCCCTGCCCCCCCCCCTCCCTCCAGAAGGTTTCCCAGAAAAAAACTTTCGAATGGTGCGACGCATCCACGCCACACGTTGTATGGTTTTACCCAATTGTATAGCCAATATTTTGGCATATACAATATGAGACGTCAACAGAGTGTTAAACAAAGGCATGCAACGTTGACATGGCTTCTCAGGCAATAAGACAAGTGAAAACATGATGACGACTAAACCCGCCGACTCGGGTCAGGCAGGAGGCTGAGGTCAAATTCAAAATAAGGCTGCTAGATCACAGGAAAACTTTAGTTATACGGTAGTTGTTTATGTTGGTTTCGAGTTTCTTAACTACAGGGACGTTAACATGCATCTCATCGTGACTTGTTGAAGGCCAGATGAGGTCGCTAATCTAGAAGAACCTCGATCAGCATTTAGCTTCGAGAAGCATAGCGCCAGCGTGTTCTGGATGCTGATCTTAAATTCCAGTGTCGAAAGTATTTTTTCCGTCAGGTTTTCGGTCAGCCTCGCCTTCCGAAAACCGTATACGGTCACTGACCTGCTGTGAACACCGATGACTGTTCCTTAGAAAAGGGGCTTAGGTAGGGTTAGGTTAAGGTCGATGGTATGAGGAGGCCCGCGGGCACTTCGAACACGGATCTGGTTCTGTACGGGCACTTCGAACACGGATCCGCTTCACCTTAATTATCCCAAAGGCCACGAATAAAGCGCCTCAAAGTCCGACACAAATGAGTTCACCTAGGGTTCTAATTACTAAATGGACTTAGTGCATTTATCTCTGATTTTTCATATCTCAGGGAGGGTCTATTTCGCCTTGAAGAAGGGAGGGTGGATAAGAACGTCAAGCGTACACGGTCGGTAAGAGTCTATGTGATCTCACTCGTGTCAAATTTTGGGATCATAGATTGTCACCTCGCTGTCAAGTAAGTTAAAAAGGTAAAACTACAGATTAATATTTTAAGTGCTCCCACGCAACTAGCTTTAACATTAACGCATCTTGTGTGCAATACTGTACTTCTTGTCATGTCAGGCCAGTCACCGTATTTGAACTTATTGAGGTAGAAACAACCAAAAACCTACGAGAATATTTGGATATCCGAAGGTACAATTGACGCCAAGTACTACCCTACCAAACACTCGAGCAAAGCGGCACGCTCCTGAAGGAAAACGTTGATCAAGGTCGTTTTGTGGAAGTGACCTCCTCGGCCCGCACGAAATGAAAACGGAACATTTTGACTTGATTCGAGATGAGCGTAAAAACTGCGCTTCATGTGAGACAGAAAGGCTTCAGCTCTTGTTTTGCCTAATATGAGCCTTAAGTTCTTCTTCTGAGTGAGCAGCCTCCAGTGTACCAGGAGGTGCTGGTAAAATGATCTAGTGCTATATGACGATTACAATGTCGTTACTCAGGTACCACTCATAACTGGCACATTTAATCAACCTGAGTACCTACAATGTAATCGTTATTTAGCACTACAATTTTTCTGAGCCAGCATATCTTGGTGCACTGGAATTCGTTAACTCAGCACAATAACTCGGACTCATAATGCCGCAAGGCCGTCTCATGAGGCAAGGTTTTCATAAGTCTGATCTTCATACCTGATCCAAATTCAATGGCATTAGTCGTGTTTTTAAAAGCAGTGGTCCATCTGTGTATGCAATCTTTTCAAATTTGCGTTACTTCGTCATCATCTAAATGTCGTCAATCTAATGTCGTTTCGTGTTGAATCATTCCCTTTGTCTGACAGGCAGGGCCTGACGTTGACCTGCTATAGGTCAGCAGCCTTACGCGATTCATCTATTCCTTAAGTCAAAGCATTGGCTATTTGGTTATGTAAAGCTAGACAAAGTTCAGCGCAGCTTTGCTGCTCGGGTCGAAAGTTATTTTAGAAAACCTTTTTGGGGTCAAATAAACCCCCACCCGAGCGCGTTTAACTGTCCATTCCTGACCTGTCTTTACACACGGACGAGAGCGGTTCTGTCTCAATGGCCTGCGGATGAACATAATGTTTCGATCGCGAGAATTTCATCTTTAATCTAAAATAGCCTGAAATGTCGGGCTCCGGATCTCTGGATGGAATTTTTAGTTGTGTCCCTATCATATTTGGAACGCTGCTGTGACAGCTGGGAAAAAGCTCACAAGGGAATTCATTCACAAATATGACATTGTGAAACAACCTCATCCGACTTGAGTGTCAAAATTCAATTATTTAAACAAGCATAACAAAAAACCAATAACTAGAAAACGATGAAAACTGCACTAAGCATTCTGCTCGAACGAGTGTCAGAGTTCAGAGAATCCAAACAGTTGTCACAAGCGATGATTCCTCTGAAACTGACGCCCTCCGAAGAGCTGGCTTGATACTTCGGTACTTGCCACAGTTTCTGAGACGCCGTTATGACGAAGACTCCGCCAACTCAGTATCGACAAGCATTCGATGAAGCGGCGGCGCTTGGCAGACTGCGGATTGTGTTTAGCCCTTACTGGTGCGGCAGCCGGCGCTGGTCTGCGCGCTCTCAATAAAGTTCCTGGCGAAATACAGTGAGGACGGCAAAACCAGCAGATGAAGAACGGCCGGGCTGCGAGCGGTCTTGCTGCTTATCGAGTACTTAAGCACCATGCTGACACAGCCACAGAGAGAACTGCACAGCATGACGTCGCGCCAATATCTGTAGAGTTTCATGAATTGTATTGGAAACACTGATCCAGGATTTCCAGTGAGGCGTGCCCTCAAAACGCGATTGATTGATTCCAAGTGCTCTAATACTTGAACACTGAAGTTGTCAAGCTACGGACGACGCGTGTCGCGGAAACCGCGCGCAACAAGTTCACACTACTCTATCTGATCGATGCAACCACGAGGCCCAGCAAGTCCAGGCGTATCTGCGCGTGGGTTCTCTGTGGAGTCTAGCATCGTAGAGCCAAGCCATCAGCTATTGAGCCAAGCACCTCACTCAGCGGTACCAGGAGCCACACAGCGAAGCAGAGTGACCTCACAGTGGATCCACGACGGATGGCCAGACAGCTGGAGTGCAGCGTCACAGCTGGACGCGTACCCAAATGGTCTTGCCCAGACAGTCGCAGCTGCTCTGGACCTCCGCTCAATGGGAGAGGCCAGACAGTAGCAGCTGCTTTGGACCTCCGCTCACTGGGAGAGGCCAGACAGTCGCGGCTGCTCTGAACTTGCGCTCGCTGGGAGAGGCCAGACAGTCGCAGCTGCTCTGGACCTGCGCTCACTGGGAGAGGCTAGACAGTCGCGGCTGCTCTGGACTTGTGCTCACTGGGAGAGGCCAGACAGCCGCAGCTGCTCTGGACTGCGCTCACTGGGAGAGGTCAGACAGTCGCAGTTGCTCTGGACTTGTGCTCACTGGGAGAGGCCAGACAGCCGCAGCTGCTCTGGACTGCGCTCACTGGGAGAGGCCGGACAGTCGCAGCTGCTCTGGACCTGTGGTCACTGAAAGAGGCCAGACAATCCCAGCTGCCCTGGACCTGCGTTTACTTGGGGAGGCCAAGCAGTCGCGGCTGCTCTGGACCTGCACTCACGGGCAGAGACTAGGCAGTCGCGGCTGCTCTAGACTTGTGCTCACTGGGGGAGGCCAGACAGTCGCGGCTGCTCTGGACTTGCGCTCATTGGCAGAGGCTAGGCAGTCGCAGCTGCCCTGGACCTGCGTTTACTGGGGGAGGCCAGGCACTCGCGGCTGCTCTAGACAGTGCTAACTGGGGGAAGCCAGACAGTCGCAGCTGCTCTGGACCTGCGCTTACGGGGGGAGGCCAGGCAGTCGCAGCTGCCCTGGACCTGCGTTTACTGGGGGAGGCCAGGCAGTCGCAGCTACTCTAGACCTGCGCTCACTGTGGGAGGCCAGGCAGTCGCGACTGCTCTGGACCTGTGCTCACTGGGGAGGAGGGGGGGGGGGGGGGGGAGGTTGAGCAGCGAGTCCCCCACCCTCCCCTTCGCCGCGCCGTCGAGCAGCGAGTCGCCGACTCCCGTAATGAGCTGGATGTCGCAACTATACGTCAGCACGGATATAAAATGCGCACTGGACGCCCTACAACGCAGCACCGAAGGCTTCCATTATTTAACATTATTATGTAATATTTCATGATCTGGAACTGCATATGACGTACGTGGAGAAGGTATGAACCAGCCGGGCGTCATAACTGCCCCCTGGCCACTGTCCGATCTTGAAGTGGGACCGGAAGCAAAAAGCCGGCCAGTGAGTGCACCATATCTGATAAAGAACACCCGGTGAGATGAGATACACCGTTGAGTACAAAGTATGACCGTAAGGCTGGACGGTAATTTCCATGACTGTAAGCGACTGGCAAGTCCTACCGAAGAGACAGAAGGCACTAAGCATTACCTACTGCATCGCCATCGATCTGGTCCCCGTTCACTCCACGTGCTGCTGCAGGCCGGCATGTGACCCGGGCGGCAGCGGCAGGCGCCCTTGATCTAGCAGCTCTCCGCCTGTCTGTGACACGCAAGGCTTTTTGTATCGCGCGGCCTCATCCGGAGCCGTCTGCCGCCGACCATCGCCGCCTCTCGCACCCGTAAGGAACTTAACACCACGCTGAGCGACGTAGAGGGTCCCCTTACGTAATCGTTGCTTGCTTGCTGTTGTGTAATCATTGCTTGCTTGCTGTTGCGTAACATTGTTTGCTTACCGTTATGTAACATGTTTTGAACACTCCTAGTTCGGTTAATTAGGTTGTGTTTGACGAAGCTGTGTGGTCGACGAACTGATGGAAAAGTGCGAATGTGGTCGCGGCGCTGACGTGTTTGTATATTGCGCTCACACTCTTGTTATTGCACCGAGTGAAACAATGATATGATATGATATCCGAATGCCGAGTGAAACAACGATATGATATGATGTAATATCATATGAATGATATGATATGAATGATAGTGATACGTTAATTAAATGAAAATTAACAGAAACAAGAGTTAATCCCGTATTCTAACCTTTCCAAAGGCTTTAGAGATTCTGCTGTTAGGTCAGCTTTTTCGGATCCTTTTCCCTTCATGATGTGCAGTCATGGTATGTTCAGAGACATTGGGCAGTCAGACATCAACTCTTTCCTTTGATATCATCCGATAAATCCTCAGACGTGGTTTGCCGGCATTTACGGCTAATTGATGTGCTAAGAACCTGGCTTAACGACATATTCTTAGGATTGCCTGAAGTTATCAGTGATGGCCCAGCACTTCCTGATAGCTCAGTATCGTTACATAAAACCGTATGTGGTCTGTGACGACCTTTTATCAAGGAATTCCATTACTCCCAGTGGTACAAGCCAAGGAACACTTGTTTTCTCGGCGCAAGCAAATGTGTTATGTACCCTGCTGTGGGGCATCTGGACAGGCCGAGGTGAACCTGTTGACTGTCATGTTCCAGCTGTCTTTTATGATGACGATTCACTGCACCTCTTCACATGCGCTAGGCATCTCGGTTTTCTCTTACGCCTAGCTGGAATTTTGCGGCAGAATAGGGACTTGCTTTCATTCGCGCACAGCCAGAGAAAGTGCAAGTCAATGTACAATGTTTGAGGACATGGATGTTTTCCGATTGCAGCCGTCTTCCATCAATCTAGCAGCAACATTGACATATTTAGTTTGTCATCTGGCGGCTCAACAAGTAGTCGATAGCGGGTAAAACGTGTTCGAAGCGCTTGCTAGGTCCTCCCCGTGGAATGACGATTAATAAGTCAGTCTTGAGATGCATGATCTGGAAGAACGTCAAACTTGTTACTTAAACAGCGTGTTTCGGCTATCTCTCCATTCACTTCACACAGCTCTGATGCCTGACCCACGTTTTGCACCAGTGGCAGAACGTGACGACGGCAGGATCCTGCAATGGCAACTTTCGGATTACGATCAAACCGCATGCTAACCCAAGTTTGAGCGTGCCTTCGCAGTACAAGCTGTCGTCCCAGCTGACCCGCCACGCTCCTCTCCGAACCCTGTGCAAACAATGATCAACCGCAGTTCACAGGGCACCCCGGATGATGCCACTGGCCGTGCAGATTACCGGTCGGTCCCTTTGGACCAAATGGGAATGGTATGAATGCCTCGCTGTACACGCGGCTGTTTCATTTTTCTGTTTTTGTGTTGCATTTTTTACTTCATGGTGCTTTACGTCAATGCGCTTTCGAATGCATGTTTGGTGATGATGATAATACCGACGACGGAGATGATGATAATCATTTGGGCTGACAGATGAAACAGTTGTTCGGACTATCGCCCTGGTCTAGTGTGTTAATATCTATACAGCGTTTTGGTGAATTAACTCTCCGGCCGTCGTCGGGTGTTTTTGAATGAAGAAGAAACGCATGAAGCTTGACTTTCATCCATGTACGCGTCAACGCCCAAATTCTGCGTTTGGAATTACTGGGATTGCAGTTAGCGTCTTCAGATTGCGAGTTAAGTGCTCTGCGAACTGAGCTAACCGGAAAGGACGCCCGAAAAATTACTCCAACAGCGATGTTAATGCCTCGTCTCAATCCTTGCATGAAACGACGCCTTGAGACTTGAAGCCGGAAGTGCATGGCTCGATTTCTCGATTTCTCGATTCTCGATTTCTCGATTTCTCGCGCCGCCCGCCCTTTCTCCCAAGGTGATCCGCAGGCGACGCTATAAAGCCTCAGCGGATGAGTGCGTCGTTGAGGCCCGAAAACAACGATGATGTCGGGAAAACCGAGACGATCTGAGATCAGAGGAAACCTGAAGACCAAATCGGTGCAAATGTGTCTTTACCCGCTGTTTATACATTGAGTCACTATGCTAGTGCTTCGATCAGCTTAATAACAAGTTTATTCTCAATCAAGCTTATACCGATAAAAGGGTGGACAATGGAAATCCTTATCAAAGCGGCAGTAGCGCCAGAACCAAATGAAACACGGCCACATAGCGGCTGGTGACAATAACATCAGGCTGTTTATCCATGCGTATCAGGCTGTTTATCCATGGTAATCATGTGACACGTGGCATGCCACCTCGTCACGCCCCGCCACGTGTAGTACTGAACTACTCGGGCCGTAGTAGAGCCCCATCCTCTTCCGTGCACCCTACCGGGACAACATGCGGCCCCTCCCTCCTTCACGGACCCCATCGGGATACTGCAGGGCCCCGTTCTCCTCCTTGCACCCCCGCTCGGATGATGTGCACCCCGCCCCCTCTCCGTGCACCCCCGCTCGGATGATGTGCACCCCGCTCTCCTCCGTGTACCCCCGCTCGAATGACGTACACCCCGCCCCCTCCGTGCACCCCCCGCGTTTGGATGATGTGCACCCCGCCCCCCTCCGTGCACCCCCGCTCGGATGATGTGCACCCCGCTCTCCTCCGTGGACCCCCGCTCGGATGATGTGCACCCCGCCCCCTCTCCGTGCACCCCCACTCGGATGATGTGCACCCCGCTCTCCTCCGTGTCCCCCCGCTCGGATGATGTGCACCCGCCCCCTCCGTGCGCCCTGCTGGGATGATGTGCACCCCGCCCCCTCCGTGCACCCCCCCCCCCGTTTGGATGATGTGCACCCTCCTCCGTGCACCCCGCCCTGGTGATGTGCAGCCCCACCCTCCTCCGGCACCCCAGTCCGGACGCCTCGATCGATGACAGCCGACATCGAGTGAGGCCCATATATGCGCGTGGCGGGTATGGGGGGGTCAGGCAGGCAGCGTGAAGCGGGCGGGATTTCTAAACACGGTCACGTATGAACCCAGACGTGCTTCCCACTGATGCGTGTGTACGTAACCGGACATCGTTGTGTACGCGTGCTTTGGCCCTGTCACGTGGTGTTCCCGCATACTTTTCCGTGACTTTATATGTTGTACTTGCATTAGCAGTCTCCGTTACGGTGCTATTCTTAAGCTATTTGATTCCAGTCTTATCCACGCCATAACTAGTACGGCTGTTCAAATGCCTGTGTCCTGTAGTTACAAAACGCAGGTCGTGATCGAGGCCTGCATTTGACACGTTAAGCTGATTGAAAGCCAGCTGTCGTCCGCTGATGCGCTTCGTGCTGTCGTACGCCAGACGCGAATAATTATATTGTTATTTTATTTGTGATCTTAAACATGGCATGGTCATCAATTAGACAAAATTCATCTGACGTCTCTACGATGTCATACATTTCTGGGTTGCTTTAAAGTAGGTGGCGCAGAATTGTCGGCACAAGCTGAAGCGTCTGGGTCAGAAACGACAGAATTTGAAGACTTCAGCTGGGCGTAACTTTGAAAAGCAGGTAATGATCTTGGGCGTGACTTTTTCAGTTCAAAACCTTACACACATGTTGAACGGTCACTTTAAGCCTCAATGGTGACGTAACAATGCATATCTGCACTATGAAGTAGCATTATCCATCGTATCTTACAGATAATATCTAACGGATAATGCAGGTAATACAATAAGTATTACCCGCATCATCTCTCCTAGTCATATCTGCGATCTGCGTTAGTGACGGTTGCCACAGAGATTATCCAGCCAGGGTCTTACAAACACAACCGAAAGACGGTCTGTAGACTTCTAAGTAACTAAGACGTTGTATAAGAGGGCGTGATAGAACACTCAGATATGTCGCAGCGACTGACGCATGCTATCATTTGACGGTGAGCCCGCCGTAGCCTTGTGACTATCACCACCATTCCGATTTTTCAAACACATTTTTAGGCCTTGTTTATTCTCGAGCAGCCAGTTTTGAGCTTTTTCACCGTCTTCGTGCGCAAGTTTACAAAAGTTTGCTACAAAGGAACAATACGGCGATTATTTATATAGCAGCGAAGTACTAAACATGAAACGGGTGATACCTCCGAGCAACGTCTGAGCTCTACGGACACGGAAAATGTCTTGGGATGACACACATTTCATGTGCGACAATGTGTCATACATGTGTGACAAAGTGTCTTACTTTGATTATCTCGTTTCAGATTATACCAATCATGCAATGCCATTTTCTTTCGTCCACACATAGTCACGCTCACGCCTCGGTATCAACACCACATTATCACAATTGCACACAGTCACGAGTTCGTAGAGAAACACCATTTGGATATGTCTCGCGCAAGAAGCATTGACATCTTCAGTGCCCACTGCTCTTACATCGTGTCGTACCTGCTGTTCAACGGGGCTTTGTAATGCTCATGAATGACATAGTGCAACCCATATGAATGACAAAATATTCCTGATGTTTAAAGATGTCTCTGTTTATTTTCTAAACCCGTGCTGTCGTAGCGTGCTGGGGGACAAAATAGAAACAAGAAAGTATTAACTGTTCAGATTTCTCCAAAGACAACTGAGCTTCACATACTGTAATGTATGTGGGTAGTGATGACATTTCTCCAAATTTGCTTGCCTCGCAACAGTTTGATGTTGTAAATTATACAGGACAGAATTATGATTTGATAAACATTATCTGTTTCATCGAGCTAAGATGCGGGCTTTACCATGCGTAATTTAAAATGTTCTTGCAGTAAGCACGCACTTGCGCATCTAGGCAGGAACGCATGCAGGATACTTGCATCGGGAGGGTATCTTCCCCAAAAATTTCCTCCCAATTGGTTTTCGCTCACAAAAAGATGCTAGTGCACCGAGGGCGCACGAAATTACATACAGTTTCTTGCATGACGTCCAGCATTCTGCTTGCGTTTATGTGTACATCTCAAAATCATGATTGCCGACCTTTCTTCACATACATAGTAATGCGTGTAAAAGTTTGAGAAGGGCCTCTGTGTTTGGTGGACATATGAAATACGCGTAGTTAATAATCCGGCAATTTCCACATTTATTGCTAGCGTGTTCCCCTGAAACCTGGGGAGAGCATTCGTGTGTTTACGGGTCTTCGTTACAGTATTGTTGTGGGGTGGCCTTCATGGGTTCCATCACTTATGTTAACTGAACGTCACGCATGTCTTCATATAGTTGGCGAGGTGTCATTTGACCAGGAGCTGACATCTACGAGGCAGATTTGGACAATGTGGAGACTGCCTAATTGAATTACTGAAGGTCACTGAATTACTGAAGGTCACGGCCCTGTTCTGAGGATGACACCTCACTGCTATTTAACTGATCGCATAGCGCTCCGTGGTTTTTACGAAAACATCGCTTAACCCCTCGTGAAAGTCAACACGTGAACATCAAATTACCCAATGAAAAAGAGATCTAGCAGCTAACAATACCAAGACGGCCTGCGGACACAGCGACAGCGGAAAGCACGATATTACAAACAGACTTGGAACACAGCGCTGTGTGGCGGAACCACGCCACTCCAGCGACATCACGTGCCATGCGGACAGTGCGCAGTCACATGGTGCTCCAGCCACATCACAGACCAGTGACATTACACTCCAGTCGCGAGACAGTCCGAAGTCGATGACTGGAAATGCACCCGCTTCGTCGGCTGCATCGTCAGCCTAACATAAAACGCGGCTCGCGCGCTCGCGGCCGTCTGAAGTCAGGCCAGCCTGCAGACATTTGAGATCGACAGGCAAGTGAGGACTGTTCACAACTCGTTCGCAGTTTAGCGGCCGTCCTGTCCACAATTCAGCTTCGTAAGACCGCCGCTCCACGCCCGGAGCAAAGGCGGCACGACGCAGACACACTAAAATCTGCCGTCAACCAGCGCGCTGCCCCAGCCATTCACGACCGCGCGGCTGTCGAGAGCGGTGCGCGTCCAACGAGCTGGCAGCAACCAGCCAATCAACCGGTTCACCACTCCGCCAGTCAACCGGCCAACCCGCGGCACGGGGCGAGCCAGTGGGCCGTGTGACCAGCTGGGGTATCCAGCACTGGTTGCCAACCAGCCGGTAAGCTGCCAGGGAGATGCCGGATGGTTTTTTCAGCTGATGAAGGGGAGTGACTGCGCACGCACGTCTGTCTGGATTCCTCTCAACTCTGGTCGCACGTCCCGTCAATGTTCCGTGACGTCATTTCCTGTATTAAGACGTGATGGCCGAAAAGGAGCGCTGTCCTCTCGCGGTGATGTCACGAGCCTGTGACACGCGCCCTTTTTGCCCCCTGAAGCCCCACCTCAGCAGAAACCACAGCAGCGAAGTGCTCCGTCGCTGTCTCCCTGCCGCTGCGTCTCGCACGTCCCTGCGAAGTGGCGTCACACCCCACGTTGTGACGTCACATCCGGTGACATGGCGCTTCAGAAGAAGCACTCTCTGCTGCCGCTGGTGCCGATGGTGGCGCGGCGTCGGGCCGGCCTGGCGACTGCCGCCCTGTCCAGCGAAGAGCCGCGTCGGGCTTGAAGCGCGAAGTCGAGGCTGCATCGCGGCCGGCCGCCGCCGTCAATGGGCGGCGTCTTCACCCCGGCCCGCCGGCCGTATGAGTACGTGACCCTGTGGCACAGGTCGAAGAGGTCAGAGAGCGGAGGTCAAGGATCACACAGGCAGTGCATGGGGGTCAACCTGCGGCGCTAGTCACGGAGCAGAGGTGGAGGCATGTCATGTGCCATATCGAGGCAGTGGTCAGGGGTCAGGATATGCGATCTTTGTGACAAAGGTCGCAGGTCAGAGGGTGAAGGTCGGAGGTCAGGGTAAGGCCAAGACTAGGACTGACACTAGGACAGAGATCTCCGGCTACACAGAGGCACAGGTCAAGGGTTAGAGGGTATGTTGGAGCTGAGGGTCATGAGTCACGTGATAAAGAGGCCACTGGATGTTTTGCTTCAAGTCGCGGGTCACCTTATAAAACAAGACAAGGGCTGGATAATCATTGATACCCAAATTTAACAACCTCCAATTGCAAAGGCATGTTTATTATAACAGGGGTGCACTAATACGTGATAAAACCAGCGACAAACATTCCTCGGGCTACTGCTTAACTTAGTGATCTTAAAGCTCCTGGCTGTCCTAACAGCCGCTTACCTAATCGCGCATATTGTGTTTTCATTGACGCGGTGAACAGCTTAAAAAATATAACTTTTGCAAGACATGAAAAAAATGCAAACAATGTTGCTTATGAATGTGAATCCTTTTCACGTTAAATCTAGACACGGATGTAAAATTGGAACCCAAGCGCATCATGCAGGCGCCGAACTACAATTTACATTTACACAGAACACCAACAGATGTCACTACTGTTGCGCCGGCTTCACTCACGGGTGCACTCCATTCAGTGTCTGGACGAGTTGTTGCCGGTACGCCCAGCGTGTAGTGTAGGCGCGGCTCGTGCGGAAGTTCTTGACAGCCACCCGAAACTGCGGATGACTGATGGAGTAGATGAACGGGTCCAGACAGGCCGCCGTCTTGCAGAAGATGCCTGTAATTAGTGTCGTCATTGTTGTAGTTTGATGCACAACGCCGGTGCTGGGCGGCCCAGCTCGTCGGGTGCCTGGCCGCTGTGCAAACGGCCGGTGTGTGATTCAGTGTGGTTCGGTGTGAAACGGTGTGATTATAGTCTCGGGTCCGTCTTAACGCCCGGTGACAGCTCAACGCTTGGTCCATTACAAGGACCTAGCACACTGGACCGGGGCGCTTTTTAACGCCATTAAAACATTGACGACGGGATGGGATTCGAACCCAGAAAACAATGGCGCCTGAGGATCGCAAACGCCCGTGGTTTCATACCGCCCTGGCATGCGTTATGCGCCTCAGCACAACACTCGCCATCACCACAATCCTAGCAATAGCCGCAAACAGGAGGGTGTTTCAGGAAACGGCATTCTCTCAACGCGGGATGATGACGACAACTGTGAGTGTTCTCCAGATCTGAGAGTCTGAGAATCTTAGCATCCGAGAAGGTTTTGGGGTCAATGTGAAGAAGGATTCGACAAGGAGGGTAGCTTCTTCGCCCAGCCGTCAGTCGATCTTTTAAAGATACGTCTTACTTCCGTCCAAACGAGTTCTGTCATACGGACGGAGCGAGGGACAGGAACACGGCCAGCCCAACTTGTCGACAAGAGTGTGCGTCGCCCACATGATTGGGTCCTGTTGGGTATTTTAGCGAGAATGGTTGCGGGGCATTTAGCGAGAATGGTTGGTACGCGTGATGGCAAAACATATTGCGTATCGTACATGTCTTTTTACTCAGTTCTAGAAGTCTTTGTTTAGGCACGTTTAGGGGATTTGATATTTGACAGCCCATAGCGTCATTGATGTGGCAGAATAACTATTATTAAGCGCTATTCAAAATCCCTCTCTGTTTGCTTTTGACGCGAAGTGTGTTGCCCGTTTTCTTCTTCAAGTGATTTTGATTCACAAGCAGCCGTTTACAGACACCACATACTCGGTCCACCAAGGCGCTAGCGGGAGCGATAGGACCTTTAAACAAGGATTCAGTGTCACGCCTATGGGCTTTACAGCTGCGCTAAATGGCATTCATTTTTGTGAGCTGTATATGTATATATCCTAACATATCCCGGAAATATGCAGTTGAATACGTCATGTAAAACCCCAGTTCGCTCCGAAACTGCCAAGTCAGTCGCAAAACGTCAAATACCGTGCCCAATATGAAAGTGATCATTTTTATCAAATACACGATTCTGACAAACTCTAGGCTGGTGTGAATGGCTTTGAAAAGCCCAAACAATAAAGAAAAGGAAAACAAGTGAAGAAATGAAGACAAACACACACGTAACGTTTCGAGAGCACTGAATTTGATTTCATAAGCATAAAGCAACCTGGCTTGTATGATATGTATTTGTGTATATACTTGTAAACAGCTGTTGTGCACTCCCAGGTTAGTCTGAGTGACATTATGAACGGAAGCAGCATAGTTAATACCACATATAAAAAACGCCACCACGCGCTCCATTACAAAGCAATTACCAATACAAAGCAACGCAGCTGTGCAAGGTACATATCTGGTTTAGACCGCCCGCTCAGAGCTTCTGACACAGAACAGGTCACTGCGGCCTGCTTCATCGTTGCCCGAGCAGTCGTCCGGTCAGTGGGGTCACGTGTGCATTGTGCAGCGCTGCGATTCGTTTACTTTGTCTGCCTCGGGCATTCCCGACAGCGGACGGGTCCAGCGCTACCAGCCATAAAAACTGCTCTGCCAGGAATTTTTGCTTCGACGACATTCTTAAACAAGCATTAGCGTATATTGACAAACAAAGTGGGAATTTCGCAAAAACTGCCATGGCCATGGGTGTCATTGCTTTCTCGACCATGCCATATGCACCAGTGGCTGTATTCTGACCTCTAACCATTATTAACCCCTAGTTTCTGAAGGCCGGTTTTTTGTAACATTAGAACTCATGCTGATATACCAGGAGCTGAAGAAATTTCCTGCTCATCTCGGGCCATATATGGCTGCATATCATGGCTGCCATTCCATCTGTCTCTTCGCAAACGACAGATTTGTGACACATCAGCACACTGTCTTCGCCGCTGCTCAGCGCTCTGATGAGTGTGCATTGACATGGAGCCGACCATTGAGGAGAAGAAACGGGCCACTTCGCATCAAATGTCGCATAAAGTCGCGCCCCTCGACGTATATCATGCATGGCAATGCTGCTTCTGCTCCATTTAACGGCATGTATCGAAGACCGACACTGTCGCGAGGCTTGAAAGAAAAAGAGACATAATGTTGTTGAGTCACTTGCAGCAAATCACATCAGGTAATGGAGCGGCTATCGGCGCGGACGCAATGAGCTCATTGAGTCTACCGCGAAGGCCGGGCCTGGCAAAGAGCTCGTACTCAGCCTCGTCGCGGTTCGTGCGTCCTGCCTGATATCATGTGTCGCGCCTGGTATCATGTGTCACACCTGGTGGCATGTGTCGCACCTGGTATCATGTGTCGCACCTGGTATCATGGTGATGAGCGGCGTGATGTATCTCTGCTGGCCGAACACGCCCATCAAAGCGACGGCCGCGTAGGGAGACCAGGAGAGGAACCAGAGCAGCACTACGCTGCCGATTACCCGGGCCAGCCTGAAACAGAGCGTGACGTCAGCTGGTCAGCCAGCAGCAGCGATGGCCGCCAGTTGATGAGTGATGGCGCCATTACGCGGCCAAAGACCGAACTATTGATTGTCAGAGTGATTCCGGCGATTGATGACTTAGCTAGTTCATTAAGCAGGAGTTCGGGCGGTGATGTAATCATTCATTGATCGTTGAAGATATAAGCCGCGTGCCGCGCCGTGCGTTGCCTTGGATAAAATTAAGAGCACTGCGGTTTAGCGGCATGCTTTATGCGAAAAAAAACCATCGCCCTGAAAATATATAGCAACGGTGAAAAACCACGGGATTTTTCACAGTTTGGCCACAGAAACCATGTGAGCTCTAACACAGTGCCACATCTGTGATGTATTTGGTGACAAACAACATGGACGGCAACTCACGACCTTAAAAGTTTTTTAACGGTGCCTGGTTTAGAGGTAAGGTATGAATCATGGGCGACACGAAAGCTAAAATACCCCAGCCTACCCACTGCGCATGCGCAGCCAGCAATGGGTATTTGCCCCGTTCCTATCTGACTATTTAAATTTATATTTAATGAAACTTTCCGAGCCTTTTAACTGGATGGATTTCTTGGACCAAACTCCACACGCTGATCAGCGCTTGCTGCGTTAAACCCCACCTCGTTATCCGAAAGAGCAAAATGGTGACATCATCTTCAGCGATCACCGCGACTGTCATCCACCCACGGCGACGGGTCGTTTGTGGCAGCTGGGGCCTAAGAGCTGGCCTTTCAGATCGTTTTACGTAGTCCTCGGCAGCGACGGGATCTACCCTTCGCCTGATCGGCTGACAATATCGACCCATGGTCATCGTCCTCCACGTGGCGCCCGGCCATGCGGAAGAGTTCTGCACACTCAGACCACCCAGATGGCGGTTAGGCGGCCGAAGGTCAGGCGGTTGCGAGAGAGCTGGCGGAGTATGGAGAAGTTCCGCGGTTTTCGCCGCCATCCCGGCCTGGATGTGTTTTATCTGTGGTGAACGTGCGACTAGAGCTGGTGTATAGGCCTATAAACGTAATATTAAAAGAGCTAGTATAGAGCTGGAGTGACTGGGCCAGGTCCTGTGCCGATCGTTTCTACAGAAGGACCCGAAGTATTTATAAAAAAACAAGGCTAACCGTAGGATCACCATGGAAACGCACGCACGTGTTTATGCAAACGTGAATGCCACTGCATAGACACTAATGGAAGCGTGTCTTTACCCATCACGTGACACACTTGCCTTTTATAAACATTCCGGATTATGCGCCACTTTACAAGGCGGACTAGGTCGTGTTTTGGCAACACCCGTGCGTGCCATTTGGGATTCACTTTTCAGTTACGATCCGACCAAGCCGACGGCTGCCTCAGGGGAACAAGACGCATCACCTGCACTGCACCTGAAACTGCACCTGCACTGCACCTGCACTGCAGGCGTACACCAAACACGAGCGCAAGCCCCCGTACACGAAGCCAGCGGACGTCTCGTCCGATACCTGTGGCCCTCTGACGTGCAGTTCCGGATCTTACATAACCATCCACCGCGGCGCTTACAAGCGCGCGGCATTAGCGCGATTGACGCCGCGATGATTGAAATGACTTCCCATGTGATCTGTCCGGCGAGTAATGACCTCATGACACGCCGCGTTCTCCGGAGCGTGCCGTCCGCCGGTGTCCTGCCGCGGTCGTCGGGCCGTGTGAGTAGATCAATGTAGATACGCGTTAAGGTCGACGCGATGATCGCGCCGTTCTCCATGCTGTGGTCGGCTTAGCCGGCTTTGAACGGTAAGGCTACTTTGGACGATCGCGATCAGGGGTGTGCGGTCGTATGTTGGAGGAGGTCATGCCACTTAACCTGCACTTTAGTATCCCACCCCCCCCCCCCCCCCCCCCCCCCCCAGCTTCATGCACAGCTCACGACAGTCACTATGTTTATGAAGAGTGATCCAAATAATAAGATAAACTAAGGACACATATTTGAATTCTGTCAAGTGACGGAATAAAATGGACCAGAGCGGAGGTATCACGGTGTTTTGGGATGCACCAGGATGCTCAAACCCGGACAAAACCATTCCAAGCTCTCCTGCGAAACTGCGCCCTGGTTAAGGTCTTATTCCAACAGGCAGATGCGCCGCATGCGCTGTGCCAAACATGGTGATGGCTAACTGGCGCAGAAACGCTACACGTTACGTTCGCTCTTTTACGTTTAACGTCTTGACACATAACGCATACAGATCTGTGACATCCAATGCATCTTTCTTTTCCTTTCATTTAACAGTAGTCACCTACGTTGTTGTGCTCATGGAAGCTTGCGCGTTTGAATGTGGATGCGACTTTCACAAGCCGTAGTTAGCTAAACACACATTTACACCACGACCGTCCCATAAATAGTAAATCCGCTATGGTAGCCTGCAGCTGCTCAGCGCATGGACTAAGATCCAACCGGCTGCTGTTAACGGAATATGGGCTCAGATCCAACCGGCTGCTGTTAACGGAATATCGGTTCAGATCCAACCGGCTGTTGTGAACGGAATATGGGTTCAGATCCAACTGGCTGCTGTTAACGGAATATGGGTTCAGATCCAACCGACTGCTGTTAACGGAATATGGGCTCAGATTCAACCGGCTGCTGTTAACGGAATATGGACTCAGATTCAACCGGCTGCTGTTAACGGAATATGGACTCAGATTCAACCGGCTGCTGTTAACGGAGTTCAACTCCGTTGTCACCGGACACGTTTTCAACTTTGTGTGAGTGATTAACACATTTGAAGCAACAGCAATGTTAAAATGAGGCCTTTAGTTTGATTATCCATATTTGTCATCATCCACTTATTATTCGCTTTTTTGACACGCGTGATCTCATCTCAACATTGGCACGTTCACACTCTCCTCCGTAACCATTTCGTGTCTTCTCCGGCGTTTGCAATCTAAGAGATGTTTGTTTATGACCTTTTTTGTGTCGAACAGAAAGGCGGGCGTGGCGTCGCTGCACCAAATCCGACAGAGCTGAGTGGCTGATGAGTATACGCGACACGACCCAGATTAATTGCACACTGGTACCCAAATGCTCATCACTGTTCATAGAAAGCAGTAGCGTGAACACTATCAGTAGTTAAGCTTGATCATATGCATCGATGCATGCATTCAGGTCCCGTCTTTGCTTCCTCTGGTGTGTTCACGCCTTCATGGCTCCCGCACCCCTCTCACTGGCCGTTTGGTACATGGCATGAAGATGAAGTTAGCACGCTCCCTATACAAGCTTAAAGCTTCCTAAATATTTCTATGTTTTGTTTTAATTCTTATATTTTTGTTTTTGCTAAACATGCTTGGTAAAAAATTAATCGAAAAACACACTATGGCTATGAACTATCCACGTGAACTCGTCGAAAACAAACGAAACCAGACGCCGGTGCGCAGCGCACCAAACCAGGCCGTCGAGCATGGTTAGCGCACCGATCCGTCAGAGTCACGTGATGGGTGGAGTCCGGCCTCAAAGGGGCCCCATGGGAACAACAGTTCACCGCCCGGTGCGGCTACCTCATGAGATCTAATGGTCATAATGCATGCCCCATGCTTAGTCGAAATGAGCTCGCACGACCGCATCGATGTGCTGGACTATCTGGTTACGCAATGGTTTTAGTCGCAACTCTAGCACAGAACGCGACTCCTAATGGACGCACCTCAGTGCAGTGCAGCATAATGCATCAAGCATGCTCTTGCATCATGGTGTGATTTGGACTCAGTCAGACTCGAAATAAATTTGTTGCGACCATGCCCTCATTGCGGAGGCTCTTTAGCAGCTAAGTCGAGACGAGCAAACAGTGCGTAGGCAAAACAGATGCATTTTCATAGGGATAAAACATGCACGACGGACAAATACCACAGACGCATAAACAAGCATGGAGATAAGTTTAAATGGATTTATGGGGACCCAACTGCTTCTCTGAAAACTTGTCTTAGCAAAGTGATTGACGTAGCAAATATCGAGGTTAATGTTTATTTTCAGGAAGGTGTTGGAAAGCGCGGTCCGAGCTAGTTTTATGGGAGCGTCAAAACTCTTCAGGAAGGGATCCCATCAGGATCAGGATGGGTTTTGATGGGATGTGATGGGATCCCATCAGACGCGCGATGTCTCAAAGTTCCACTCAAATATGCCTGGTAGCTAGGAGTCCAGATACCACCATGTGCCCATTTTTCCCATCGAAACACACAATGGGACTACTGAAGAACTAATGGATATGCTTAAGGCCCCCCCCAAAAAAAAAGAAAACTGCTAGTTCTTTAACATCATTGGCTCTTGAAAGTTATTCACGAATGTCCGCATGCAAAAAATCCAGGGATATAATTTTAGCGTATGTCTATCATCGTGAAGTCCTTGTCCCGCCTAGGTGATCTTGAGCGGTCAAAGACGAATGCTGCGAGCGTGCACATCAGAGGCCCTGTTCAGAGGCCCTGAAGGTAGACCTCTACCTACAGGTAGATGGGTCCGTGATGGGCTCCTCCATGGGCGTTCTATTCTACATGTGTCAGGTGGAAGAGCATGTGCTCATTTATGCGGCCACCAGCCCTGAAAACATTTACGCTACCATCGATAGCATTTTTTGTGATTGTTAGCTAGACTGATTAGCTCCAATCTCTGCTCGAAAAACTAAAGGGACCATTCAGACTTGAAGTTCATAGTTGAACTTAGTTTGAACATCAAATGTCATTTATAAACTTCCTGATTGACTCATGAGATGGTACATTTCAGACAGGTTTTTAAGGAAAAGACGCTAACCATTGTAAATGCATGAACAGTAATGGAAAATATTCAGATACATATCAGAAAGTGGTCGGTCATTCTTGCTTGTATCCGAATCCGAAAATTGCTGTTCTTTCGAGTGCTTTTGATACAGAGCTACAGCGGCTGCTTGAACTGCTCATAAATAATCAAAATCCAGTACGGAGTCTGGCAATGCCCCAGACTCCTCACGCGATACCTATCTATTATATATGAATATATGTATATATATATATATACATATATGTATATATATACATATACATATATATATATATATATATATATATATATATATGTATATATACATATATGTATTGGTGTGTGGTCGTAAACACGTAGCGCTTCCAGGATGTTGAGCTCCCTTATGTCGTGTGCTGATGATAGAAATGCAGCATCTTTATGGAGCATTTATTGGATGGGAAGTGTAGCACGGTCGATTTCAAGCAGTCAAGTCGAAACACCTTATCAAGCGCACTTACACTCACTGTAGCGTATTGCAGAGTTACGACAACTTGCTGGAGTGCATGCCCAACACACAACAAAGGTAAACTTAACGCTTCAAAGGGAGCCAAGCTTCGCACTAAACGCTGTCCAAGTCCACTGGGATCAGAGGCAAGCAGAACTTCAGTGGTTTTGTCCAACCCTAGATCCTGGAGTACTCAAAGCAGTGCGATGTGAGAAATCTGCGGTCTGGCAACAGGCCCGTTTGTGCCACTGCTCTGTGTGACAGCGATTCCTCCAAGCGGAATCGTTGTGATCAAGCCGCAGCTCAATGCATATGGCGCTTAAGCCAGCCGACACAAAAGCCTGAATTCTGAAGCCATGTCATCAACCGAACGGCTTTCAAGGGAACCTTGGCAAGGCAATAAGCCGCCATCTCTGTTGAGCGCTGGTCTGCATTAAGTAGATGAGCTTTAATCAAGCCAGAACCTGATCAAAGGCGGGAAGCCGGGCCTGTTCTACTGTGATGCGTGCGACAAACTGCGCAGTTTTCCCAAAAGCTGTTTCCCCCTCTCTCTCTTTCTCTCTCTTGACTGCTCACACCGTCTCACACTGTCTCCAAGTCTCTGCACTAACTCCAGCCGTCTCCCACCTCTTCACACCGTCTCCCACTTCCTCTCACCGTCTCCCACTGTCTCTCACCGCTTCCCCAGCCCCCTATCCCCCTTCACCACCAGCGACAGTTGTGCTACATTTTGGCGAGATAACCCAAAGGCAGAGCCAAAGCCGGGAGGCGCCCGATTTTACCGAATCACCACGCAAGAAACTGGGTCAGTCGAGTGCGAGGCGGCAATAAAATGGGCCAGTGGATAACACACTGCAGCGAGCCTTGGCCCGGCTTCTGTTCCGCACAGCCTATTGGCATACAAATAGTGCTTCAGTCTCGTCCAGCGCCCGTTAAGTGAGAAGAGCCTGCCGGGGAGATACGAAACAAATGCGATCAGACTAGCATCGTGAAGATGGACATCCTAAATGACTTAGTTTGTGCATTGAGCTGATGTTGAGGCCTTTCTCTACGGTGCTAAACCAACCGCACCTCATTCCAATTATATATGCGTTGCGTGCTGGTCTCTCCTCCTCCCCCTCCCCCACACAGCCCAATGAGATTGCATGTCTCTTACCAGAACTGGCAGCGCGGCTCCAAAAACTGGGAGCAGCTTAACATTTCATCAAACATGCCTTAATTGATGAAATCTGGTATGCGCGGCTTTTGACTGCATTGGAGTCGTCTACGAATAAGTTTCTGTGTCCGTAGTGCTATCATCTGTTCCTTCGGGCATTTGGATGCCGCAACTAGATTATTTTCAAGCATGCATCAGTCAGGTCTGAAAATTACTACCGCAAAACCGGACCAGTAAACGGATATCGGCGTCACGTACGGCACGGTAAGCACCTGTCAGTCTGGTCAGGCCTGATTACATAACGTGCCGCGTCGGCTCTGTGACCGAGCTGACCCGGTGGCAGCGGCTCTGTGACCGAGCCGACCCTGTGGCGGCGGCTCTGTGACCGAGCTGTCCCTGTGGCGGCGGCTCTATGACCGAGCTGACACTGTGGCGGCGGCTCTGCGACCGAGTTGACCCTGTGGCGGCGGCTCTGTGACCGAGTTGACCCTGTGGCGGTGGCTCTGTGACCGAGCTGACCCTGTGGCGGCGGCTCTGCGACCGAGTTGACCCTGTGGCGGCGGCTCTGTGACCGAGTTGACCCTGTGGTGGCGGCTCTGCGACCGAGTTGACCCTGTGGCGGCGGCTCTGCGACCGAGTTGACCCTGTGGCGGCGGCTCTGTGATCGAGCCGACCCAGCGACGGCGGCTCTATGACCGAGTTGACCCTGTGGCGGCGGCTCTGTGACCGAGTTGACCCTGTGGCGGCGGCTCGAGTGTGGACGATCGCCCGGAACGGGTCTGTTGTTTGCCGAGTCTTCTCTTGAACAACACGAGCGAATCGCTGGTGGGCTGACTGGACTGTCGGAGCAACGAACCGGGTGATGGCTCGTCTATATTCCGCACAGAGCAGCGGAGGTATTCGTGGAATTTTGATCAGCCCCGAAACGAGAACCACCGCAGCACCTTTTTGCATGATAAGGCTATACATTTGCAGAAAGCCCCAGCCATTGGTTTCTGGTTGCACGACCGTCAAACTTTAACAAACATCAAACAAACAAACTTAAACAAACATCAAAACAAAACACTGTTTTGTTGTGCGCTGACCTGATCTCTGACTTGCACTTCCTGTTGTTGGAGCATCGCCATGTTGAGTCTTTTCTCTCCTCCATGCTTCTTTCGAAGGTTGTTCCCTGCACCGTACGGAATATTCTGCAATAGGGCGTTCGTCTCAATAGCGACACGTCTCCCACTGGAAAAGTGGTACATTAGTGTTGCGATCGAGCCACGTCTATAGGGTTTCTTCGGAGTAAATTTGGCTGTGTTGCCCTCAGCACAACACGTGACAACAGTCCACATGTCAGTGGACATCTGCCTATTTCTGCTGCTTGTCACATCACATATCACGTGTCATATATCGCGTGTCACATGTCACATGGCAAATGTCACATATCACATGTAATGTCACATGCCACATGGCACATGCCACATGTCACATGTCACGTGTCACGTGCCATATTCACTAAGAACGTTGTGAGCGGAAGAGCTGTGTGCTAGACGAAAAGCCAAAGCACTCATAGAAGAACTGTTGCTTGATCTATGTCGCACTTAACGCACACATGCAACAGGTAGCAAATAATCAAGATCAGTGGGGAAATGGGCGCAGCGACAGTAGGGTAAAATATTCGTCGTCACACGTGTATTTTCTGTGGCCGCCTTCGTCCGATGAGCGGCTCTGAAGCCCCTCAGCCCCGCCCCCCAGCCGTGCCTGGTCAGCCGACACATACCCAGAGGCGGATACTGTTGCTGTGCTCTCATTAGCGCAGAGGGGGGGCTGAGCCTCCCCTCGACGCGTCAAGCCAGAGGAGACGCGCGACGACAGCGTCGGCATCGGCGGAGGGAGGCGTCGACGCCGACGCCGACTTCTCCCGTGCGTCGGGAAATGAGGGTGGGGGGGGGGGGGGGGGAGAATGCGGGCCATGCGTGAACTGATAGCCTCCAAATGTAGAGGACCCCTGTGCATAGTGCTATGTGGTGATATAGACGAGGTAAGTTCGATGGTTGAATCGCCAGGCGGCCGCCAGGGGTGGCCAAACCAGCGTCGGGTGATACTCGAGCAAGCAATCTTCATTCTAGCCCATGTTTTTACAGCGTTCGGTGTATGCTGTCAGCTCCATCCGTTCGGGGCGGTTGCGAGATTCTATGCTTGGAATTTCGACGGGCTCGGCGAAAAGAAGCATTTCCGTATGACCTGGACCCGATTGGGCAAGAGGTCCTGGAGGGGTCAAGCCTTTGACAGTACTGAAAGTCACCGGGTGAAGATGAGTCAGCTTATTCAGTTTGTATTTTCAGAGCGTGCGAACGTCTGATTTTAACTAATATGGTCTCACATGTGAGGAATACCGGCATTTTGTATGCCGCCATTTTTGCGTGTTACCTTCGGTCGCGAGGAAAGTATTGAAATGGTGCCATATTATATGTGTCACTGTGGGTGCTATGAAGCTATACATTTATCACAACACAAGGACAAATTCGAAGCAACAAGAGAGACACTAAACAAGTCACGAAAACATGCCACCACCCTGTATCACTGTCCCAAAAGCGGATTTTCTATGGGCACAATTCTCTCAAATCGCCGGCTCCAAAACCAGCTGGCGGGCCTGGTCCAAGGGGACGACCAATGGCGCCGGGCGGCATCAAAGCACCGCAGCCAAATGCTGACGATGCTGAGCCCGCATAAAGTCATCGCCGACCCCGCGGCGGTTCACTTATTGGCGATGCGCCGGCCTCCGGGGCGTCGACCCACTGCAGGCAGCCCCCGGAAGCCCACTGTCGCAGATGCTCTGCGCTGGCCCAGAGTGCGCCGCTCTGGGCTGGCCCAGAGTGCACTGCTCTGAGCTGGCCCGGAGCGCACTGCTCTGAGCTGGCCCGGAGCGCACTGCTCTGAGCTGGCCCGGAGCGCACTGCTCTGCGCTGGCCTGGAGCGCACTGCTCTGGGCTGGCCTGGAGCGCACTGCTCTGCGCTGGCCTAGAGTGCACTGCTCTGAGCTGGCCTAGAGCGCACTGCTCTGAGCTGGCCTAGAGCGCACTGTTCTGCGCTGGCCTGGAGCGCACTGCTCTGCGCTGGTCTAGAGTGCTCTGCTCTGCCCTGGCCCAGAACGCACTGCTCTGCGCTGGCCTAGAGCGCACTGCTCTGCGCTGGCCTAGAGCGCACTGCTCTGGCGTCACGACGCCAGTACATCGCCAATGAACACAGCATCCCAGCACCGGTACTGGCGCTTAGGGGCCAGTGTTCGCATCCTTTTTAGGCGCCCCCTCAGCCAGCATCTGGCCGTTTGCTGGCTCAACATTGACCTTAAGTACGGAATGGATTATCAGAAGTTACATCTTTGTGGCGGAATCCGTAGTACATGACACTGGCATGGGAATGAGAATAGCAATGCGTTCCAGAATTGATCCTCGTCTCCACAGGCGCGAGGAAAGATAGCTTAGAGCCGTTATCAGGCGAAGGGTCAGCTAGGACTCCGACCAGGGGCACTCCTCCAGCTTCACAGCCCTACTCTCAACAAGCTAGAATTGTGCGTCTCTCCTGCCATTTTCGCAACCACTTAGCCGCACGCTCGAGTCTTTTAGGAATACAGTTTTTAGTTACGAGAATCAATGTCATAGATGTCTATGACAAGACCTCGCAGGTGGCACTTCTGTGTACGTGATTGCTGGATTATGCGAGAATAAAAGTGACATAAGTGGCAGAATCGTGCCGAATGTGACAGCGAAGGCTGAGAGACCGGCACCAGACTTTTACACCCATATTGGGATCAAAAGGAAAATACATTATTTATATCTGGTTTTCCAAGGGTATCTAGATATTAAAAATCGAAGACAAAGTCCAACCGAAGACGAAGATTGGTTTTATCTGTTTGGCAGTCCTAGAGTCCCTGTCAGCAGTCCCAGTAACGTGTGCCAGCTCAGCTCAACTGTACTAAGCGGTGGGGCTCTAGTAAGAAAGAAAAAGCGGTGACAAATGCATTGGCGAAACCTGGACGTTGAAGTCACGCTCCACCGAGCAGCGACCCCTGACCTGAACCCTGAACCCTGCGTGCGCGAGCTGCTCGAGCTGGTGAGTGCTGGAGGAGCTGGAGAAGCTGAGCTGGCTGCCTGACGCTGACCGGGGAAGCTGGGGTCACAGGCAGCGGCTCCGACATCCGGGACCAGGGGAGCGGACCAGGTCCCGGAGGCCTGCGGACGGTGTCCGGGACCAGGGGAACCGGACCAGGTCCCGGAGGTCTCCGATCGGTGCCCAGGATAAGGCTCATGGATAGTTCATCTCACAGTTAGTATATATATATATATATATATATATATGTATATATATATATATATATATATATGTGTGTATATATATATATATATATATATATATATATATATATATATATATATATATATATATGTATATGTATTCATCAATGTAAGTGTATAGGTAAGATGCCCTCAAGGTAAGTGTATAATCCAGGTGCAGTACACCCGGATGATCCCGTCCTTGTCGCGTCGGGAATCGAGCCCGGGGTCCTATCGACCCACAGCCGAGCAGTATTTCTTCTTAGATGCTGACATAGGCCCCTCCAGTGGCCTTTTTGGGGATAAGCACGGATACAGTTACTCAACAGATAGTAAGAGGTTGATTGTGCGCGGCAGCACAGACACATTTATGGGAAGAGCTTGATCTCTCCCCGCCTAGCGCAGAGGATCCGGCGCGACTCGGTTCCCATGGGATGGGTAGATGAAGTGAGATGAGGCGAGGTAACATGATATGGGCACACATCCGCTTCTCCTTGGAACAATCCTACATCTGCGTGGGTCCTCACTACGCATCGTAATTCATTGCGCTATTAACATAAAGCCAGCAGCAACTGGTGAGTTTACAAAAGGTGAATTCTCAACTGATATCTTCAAAATCACTGCGAAAGCGTCGTATGCTACTGAACGTTAAAATCGCGGCAGTGAAGTGTACCAAAACTCACTAGCTGGTCATTCCCATGCCTCGATGCGCTAATGAACCTCGGAATACTTAAACTCGGGCAAATCACATTTCACTGTTCCTTTAACAGTCGCAGCTTCTATTGTCCCTCAAATACCACGTGACATTTCTCTGTCGTAGAAATCCGTACCGCCGACATTTCGCTGAGAGGAGCTATCTGCAGTCAAGTGGGTCCGATCAGGGGTCGGTGCCCGCTGGGCCGCTGCGTTTCATTGGACGTCAAACGTCAAAAAAAAACGACACACGTCAAACGTGTGTCGTGAGCGGAATTTCGATGCAGCTAGGACGCGCTTCTAAAAGCCCATGTCCGTGGTTACCACAATGTTCAGGATCGTGTGTTGCAAGGTTATCTTGCTGTGTATTGGAAAAATATGTGGCAAGTAATACGGCAAATTTACGCTGTTTAGTGTCGTCTTGCTGCTGAAATTACATACGGGTCGGGAGTTTCTAACATGTTCCGGGAGTTAAGGAGTTCGGAGATGCTGCCAGGAGTGTGGACAGCCGGGAGTTTGAAAATACTAACCATCAAGTTCTCCGTTCATCAATTCACAGTCGCTCAGAGCACAGTACTCAGCCTGAAACTCAGAGTCGTTCAGAGCAGGGTACTCAGCCTGCAACTCAGAGTCGCTCAGAGCAGAGTACTCAGCCTGCAACTCAGAATCACTCAGAGCAGAGTACTCAGCCTGCATGTCAGAGTCGCTCAGACCAGAGTACTCAGCCTGCAACTCAGAGCCGCTCAGAGCAGAGTACTCAGCATGCAACTCAGAGCCGCTCAGAGCAGAGTACTCAGCATGCATGTATCCCGCCCATCACGTATTAGCTATTCAGCTGTTGGTTTATTAGCCTGTTGCTGCTAATTCTTATGCTGTTAATATGTATTCTTATGCTGTTAATATGTATTCTTATGCTGTTAATATGTATTCTTATGCTGTTAATATGTATTCTTATGCTGTTAATATGTATTCTTATGCTGTTAATATGTATTCTTATGCTGTTAATATGTATTCTTATGCTGTTAATATGTATTCTTATGCTGTTAACTCGAAAACTTTTGGAATGTCTCAAAATACAGGACAATTTTTCTTGGTTCAAGACAGGTGGTCAGCGAGCGAAGCAATCGGCTCACCATGTTTTCACGGGTGGCGATTGCGATACCGTAGTCGTTACCAAAAAGCAGCGTACACGCAGGTGATCGCATGAGCTGTACGCGCGGCATTAACAGCGATGAGTGGGCCGATGCCCGGCCATAGGATTTGGCACTTTAGACCAAGTTTCAGGGTGAAAAAAATCATTTTCCTGTCGCTGAATAGGAGACAGTGACAGAAAAATGCGGTCAGCGGTGGGCAGTGGACCACAATTTCCGGCGCATCGATAGATTGATGTCACACCGCTTCGCGTGAGCCTGCTAATACTACATCACCATCGCACACATTTAAGACCAAATGCCACTTCCAGCTGCTTGCTGTGTGGACCTTCGTCAACGGCTTTTCCATCATGCTTGTTAATTTATGATTTTCCAGAACAGCGGCGAATTTGGCTTCTTTCAGAGGCGGCAGCAGTGCTGATTCATCCGAACCTTTCGGCCATCCCTCGCTGCTTGTTCTGCGTGGTCTCGCTCACTGCACCTCCATCTGCGGAGCAATGGCCGTGCCAGGAGTGCAGTTTCGTATTCAGTTGGGGTAGGTCCAGCCCCCTCAACTCGGGCTCAACCTCCCTTACTTTGCGGAGAGAATGGACCGAAGATGGGGATAAACCCATTTGCTGGTGTATTTTGGAGTCAGGCCGCACCATTTCGAACTACTCAGCCCCGCACACACATTCATTTTCTGAAACCACGTCACTGGGTCGTCCGGAGAAAACGTTGTGAAGAAAATGGACTAAAGTCGGAAATAAACCCATTTGCTGGCGTATTTCGGAGCTCGGTTGCGCCATTTCTATCTACTCAACCCCCTCCCACACACACACACACCCACACACACACACACACACACACAGACGCTCATCTTCTGAAACCGCGCCACTGGGTCGCCCTCCTCCACAAAATCAGCAGCCCGTCACAACGCGGTTCGCTGTGTTGCGCATCCCCATACTGCCTTCACTCAATGCCCGCGGCGCTCAGAGCAGCCTGTTTCTGTTGTTGCCGCCCATTCGTCTGGGGATGTTTTGCAGCCGGCTCCGCCCGGCCTAACGAACGCCGAGGCGATGCGTCATTTCCGTCTGTCCGCCGACGAGCTCGGGGGGCCGGCTTGGTCGTCAGCTCAGTCCCGACAGCGGGCCCGGCACACCAGCGATGGGTGCCGGCAGCGGCCCGCGCAGAGGACTGTTCAGTCCCCGGGTCATGCGCAGGGGTGCGGTGATGACGCCCTATAGGGCGCTTTTACGCTTTTACAAAGAGTTGCCCGATTTCGCAAAAGCTACACGGGTCCTGACCACACTGCCCACACGGGGTATATCGACCTGCTCTGTCTCCCTGCTTTCAGTTGTTTCACTGCCCTCAAGCCCCCGTGCCGTTCTTCCCAGAAGGTGTTATACCAAATGCGCCAAATAGAAAAATGCACCCGGTGGCAATAAGTCCGATTAAAAGGAGTGTTTCATGTTTGTATAGAGTTTTGAACTGAACTGATCATCTTGAAGATCCTTCGATGCTGTTCATAATTCTGCCCTTTTTAAGAATTAATCCCCTCTAGTTTCTGAGCTACATACCCGCGAAAATGAGGAAAAGTATATCGGAGAGTATTTCAAAGTCAAGCTGACATTCATGACGTCATAATGATGTCACTCAAATCCTGCCGTTTCAAAAGCCATGCGGCGAGCAATACCAATAAAAATATTATTGCTGAGGCGTTTCTATCTGGCGTTCGTGAGCGCCATCTCCAGGTATAGCAGACGATAATTGGCTCGCAATCAATGCTGGGCGAGGCGCGATGACGTCATCAAGCCATAACGTAATGACATATATTACCCAAATACATAATTTCTAGAGCAACATATATATATATATATATATATATATGTATGTATGTATAAATAGTAGTCTTTTCCAATTAAAAAGTGCGCTTATAGTTATAACCGAGCTTGTTTCATCATATCTGACGTTTGCTGTAATACCTTCAGATGAAAAACATTTCCTGTAATCGGTTAAGTGCAGCCAACCGTGCCTGACTTCCAACAACGATGCCACTTATCCCACTCTGAGAAGCATTTGGTTATACCTTCGGTCCGTGTTGCGTGAGAACACACAGCGTAGGTGAGAACACACAGCGTAGCTCAGCGTGTTTTCTAAAGCATGGCAAAGAACTTGCTTGGAGGTAATCGCCAGGCGTTTTCATATCCGGCCCTTGGTATATTCGCGGAGTGCCGCTATCTTGCAAGGGCAGACCCGAGATGTGGTACTTCGGCCATGTTTGCCGGCCATGCTCGGCCACAACTGACGGTCATATTTGCTTCAGGTGGCGCTGCAGCGCGCCGCCCCGACTGACGTAATGAAGGTATTTTGTTCGTGCAAGAAGGCCAGTCGGCCTGCATTGAATATAATGAGAGATGCTGACGGAGCCGGCGCCTGGTCCGGCGCTTGTACGATCTTTAGGATCTTTACGATCTTTGCTGGTTTTATATAAGCAGCCACACTGGTGCTGCTTGGCTTGTCCCTGCCGGAGCCAGGTTCTTGGAAAGTTGTTGCATCTTTAGAGCAGACCTCCATCAAATCCGTCAGTGGTTTTGGTTCACACCTTTGCGAAATTGCATTTGCACTGTTGCCGCCATGATCTGACACATCTAAAATGGAAGTTCTTCTCCATTACTCCCAGTTCACTCGTTAATCCTAAGGTGAGCTATGACAGACCGGACATATTGGGCAGACGAAGCCGTCCAATATCCATTGCCACCTAATGCCCCCACCCCGCTCTCCAATCTCTCCACCCTCCACTCTCTCTTGGCTGGCTATTCATGCGCCCATCAATCGCAGAATCCTTTGGTTTGTGAGATTGCGTGTAGGTCTTTCCATCTTTGTGGAAGGTCGTTTCATTCTATTCCATCCTTGACTTGTCTTCTTTCCTCAATCCGCTCTCTGGCTGCAAAACATCCCAAAATATCCGATTTTGCGCACTTGGCTCTAGCTGACAAAGGATTCCTGTGTAATATTGCCCATAGGATTCAATGTCTGGTATGAATCCGTGTTTTCTGAGTCCATTGGCGGAAATTAAAATAACAGACATGTTGGAGATGTTTTTGCGCACTTAATTGCATGGTGCAAACAAACGCCTGCTCCATGCTCCAGTTTCGTAGATTCTGTACTGCTTCTTTGGTGCTCTGGCCAATGCGCTTTGGCAATTACAAATTGCTAAAGTAACTGACATGACGTGCCAGCAGTGGTGTGAGGTCGAAAAGCCAGCTTTTATGAACAAAATGATTTATCTCGATGCTGCCTATTTTGGGATTTATAGCTCCAGCTATCATGCTGCCAGCTTGCTTTACATTTTCGGTATATGACTGGAATGTTACTCGACATGGATAGCTGGAAATGGGCATGAAATGAGAATCTTTTCATAAACTGAGGCTTTCTTTGCGTTACGGTCTGTCGGCCTCAGTGTTCATTATGGTTTGACTGCATATAATTTACATAAAGAAAACTTAAGGAATCTAGTGGTGCTGGTAGCTTGCAAATATCTCAAATAAGTGTTGTAAAATGTGTGCCCGTGCTCATACCCATATTTTCCCGACTTGCTGCCCGATCCGTGGACTGGCCCATTCAGTTGGTGTACGGGGGGGGGGGGATTACCCGGCCCACTACGGCCTCTGTTTGACGTGCCTGTGCCAGACGTGTGCTCTGCCGTCTTCCTATTCAGACCGAAACATTACCATTATGGTCGTGATCAGCGCCCCGCGACTCAGGCCCCTGCTGAGATCATTTCATCGGAATCGTATCTAGACTGAAATTGTCGAGAAGAAAGCAGTGACTGGTTTGTTCAGAACTGCTGTAATTTGTGGCAGTTTACCTGCAGGAATGTTAAGGCATGCAATCGCTGGAAAAGCGTCAATTTGTCCCAATGATCTAGCAGGACCTCCTTTGTCACCCCACCAGGAACTGACAAGCTGACAGACGGATTGAATGGTGTGTAACCCACCCCAAGCTGCTCCCTTCACACCACGGAAATGGCCCGCATTGCGCGCGTCAAATAAAGCACCGACCGATTGCTGCCATATATCGGACGGACGGCTGATTGCTGCCATATCTCCTGCTGTGGCCGGGCTGATTGGTTCAGTGTCGCGTCGCAGGGAGAGGGGGATCAGTGGCCAGTCCACCTGCAATTTGTCACCGGCAAGAACCGGCTGAAACCGGCTGAAACCGGCACGCCAGGCGAGCCCGGCGACAGGGACACATCACAGAAAATATATATGATCAAGGCCTGTTGGTTATTCGCAAGTCTCTCGAGCGAATAGTTCACACTGCTTCATTTAAGTACGGCTGTGCACTATTCTTCCGATGAAATCCTCGTCTCCTATAAATCAATTTTTCGATATCTTGTAATAGATATCTTTGGGCTCGATTAGTGTCACTGTATCTATTTCTTGGCATCATTATTGTTCAAAGTGCCTACTCACTTTTGCAAATGCTGTCAAACATTTCAACGGCAGTCCACTGTCGATAGCCATCGGTCTCAATACCCGGCGGGCACAAGGGTTAGAGAAATTTCCGTCATACGCATCAACAAAAGTTATCAGCACCTCATCCTTGCACAGGTCTACCAGAAAAAGTTTCCAGGGACGGAAATTGGACAGGGGCCTCTCGACACAAGGCCCGGCGAACCACCGCTGGGCCACCATCCGCGTCCTCCACACGGTCCACCCACTTGTAGTAGCAGCGGCAGATCTCGCAACACGGTAGGATCCAGGCGGCCGTGAAGAAGACCAAGATGAACGCCTTGTTGGCCGCACTGTCGGATGTGTAGTCAAAGCTGCAGGACGTCAGGTAGCCCTCCGGCGTGAAGCGGATGCCTGTGACGTCGGAGCGACGTCAGATCGGTGGTGGATCAAGCAGTTTCGTCGAACGCGTTGCGTCGCACATCACATCACATCAGTGTTATATCCGTTTCACAACTTCAACAAGTTTTTTCCGCGTGCAGTGGGTGGTTGGAACTTCTTAACGAGCTCACGGCTTGAGCGTCAAAGCTCGTTTTTAGAGCTGTCTCGATTTCTAAGAGTGTTCGGGTAAGCTTGTCGCGCAAGTCTGAAAACCAACAAACTCCAGCCGAGATGAGCCCATGACATCGAAGAAAGTTTGCTAACCTTCAACCCCCATAAGGGGCAGGGTCGCGCGAGTCTGAAAACCAACAAACTCCAGCCGAGATGAGCCCATGACATCGAAGAAAGATTGCTAACCTTCAACCCCCATGAGGGGCAGCACACTGAAGAGGAGGCCGTACGCCCAGACGCCCAGGATGTTGACGTAGGCCTGGCGTCGCGTCAGCTGGTGAGTCAGGTCCAGGGGTTTACAAATCGCCCGGCACCGGTCCTTGGCGATGCTGGCCAGAGTCATGATGCTGGTGATGCCCGTCACGCCAGTTGAGAACCCGTAGAACTCGCAACCTGGGAAATGGAAACATGCGATTTGGTTAAAGCAAGGATGTCTTTGACTCGAGATCCGGGGGCCTGAGAAAAAAGGCCAACATATAGGAAAATCAAATGACCGGTCATGAGATGACAGCCAACACATGCACGCAAAATCTGACCAAACTTTGCTGTCCTTGACGGCCTTGGTTAAGGGATGGTCATGTTGTACACAATTACCGGGTATGTATTATCGTACTTAAACTTATCTCCATCACAAAATCTGTTTGCATTTTCTCTGTCAAGTATGCCAATATGCAACGCGCCGGCAAACAAATTCCTAAAGCCAAATGCATCGCATAATGTTTATTATGGCATATAAACAAAATATCCCTATGTTCATTCGAATATAACTTCACTTACAGAGTTATTCTATCAATAAGATATACAAAATAAACTAAGGAGATTTAGACCAATACACGATATTTCGTAATATTCTTGAAATACAAGTGTTCTGCTACCCTACACGGCTTTATGGCCTTTTTTAGTATAGATACAATTAACTTTTGTTTTGCTTCCTTTGGGACCATATGCATCGCGCATAACCTAGCCTAATGCTGACATTGTTTGTGATTGCCTTTGTGGCAAAGGAGAGCTTAACCTGGGCCCATGATAATTTTTGCCCTGGTGATCATCATGAGTGTGAGAAGGCGGTGCAAAGGCCATATGATTTCATTGTCCAAAATGGAGTGCAGCAATGGCTCCTCCCCCCCCTCCCCAATGGCTCCTCCCCCTACCCAACACACAGTTAAGTAATGATTATCAACGGCGAGTGTGTTGTCACAAAAAGTCCACGTCCCATTCACACGCCTTGCTTGCGATGAGTACTGTGCGACGTTCAGCCTTCAGCCTCGTGTGGTACATACAGCCACCATTTAAGGACTGTACCTGGCACGGCTACCGCATGTGTGTGCGTGTGCGTGTGCGTCTACGTGTGCGTGTGCGTGTGCGTGTGCGTGTGCCTGTGTCTGTGTCTGTGCCTGTGTCTGTGCTTGAGCCTGAGCCTAAGCCTGTGCCTGTGCCTGTGCCTGTGCCTGTGCCTGTGCGTATGCGTGTGCGCGTGCGTGTGCGTGTGCGTGTGCCTGTGCCTGTGGCTGTGCCTGTGCGTGTGCATGTACCTGTGCCCGTGCGTGTGCGCGTGCGTGAGCGTGTGCCCGTGCCTGTGGCTGTGCCTGTGCGTGTGCGTGTGCGTGTGCGTGTGCGTGTGCGCGTGCATGCTGCACATAAAGGCGTGCGGACGGCAACCACATAATTACCATGTTTCCGCATGGACACTAAATGAAACATAGCATTTGGGCAAATGACGCGCCAAAAACGGAATTGTCATGGAAATCTTGGACAGTGTGGCCGGACTTGCGTCGCCACAGGGCCGCAAGTGTCAATTTTTTGCTATTCATGCTTCCCATGGATGCACGCAAACGTAAAACATTGACTATCATCTAATTACATGCATGGACGAGCACGTGAGCTTGGTGAGTGAGCAGATGTGCGTGGCGTGGTGCCGACGCAGTTTACATGCATTGCTAAGCCATTGCCGTTCCCCGGTGTTTTCCACTTTATATGCAAAGGGATGCTCCTCCTGATAACCCCACGACCGGCGGGTCAACGGCAAAAAAGAAACGGGCGCTAGCTACACGCGCAGTTTGAACATTTACTGGCTCGCTTTATGGTGTGCGTTTTTGTTCAAACATTATCCTAGCTGTAGGGACCAGGTAACTAAGATGCTGTGGTACTTTATCCACTTGATGCCACTTTATAGAAGGAGGCGTCACAAGGCTTCAGAAGGATTGGTTTGACATCCATGTTTGTGCGGTGTAGCCCGTCAGTTCGTGTTAGAAATCGTCAGACCGTGACTGTTATTTCGTCCGTTCATGCTGGGCTTCTCGCACGGCGGCAGTGCAATGCTGATATGTTAAGATTCATTTCTATTATTTGTATAATCTATTAGGTTTTTATGTGTTTTATATCTTTATGATCTTTTGTAGTATTTTATATTAAGTATGATATTTTATATCTTCATAATCTTTTGTAGCATGTTATATCTTTATAATCTTTTATAATATTTTATAATAAGTATAATATTTTATATCTTTATAATCTATTCTATAATCTAGTTGCTTTTAACTGGTACTTTAACAACATCCAAGGTCATTTCGTGACTTTCCAATTTTTCCATGAACTTGAGTCTGGATGATCTCATAGTTTGGTAAGCTGTGTTTCAAACCTCACGCGAGATAGCATTACACCGCAGGGTCCACAATAGTCGTTTGCACGGCTGGTAGACCACCTGAAATGTTGGTGCTCAAGAAAGTTTGGTATGACGTGGCTTTAGCAGTGCATTGCTTTGAAAATAGCGCGAAAAATGATAGCACATTTGGTAAAACCACTTTAAAGTCTCGAGCCTACTGGATTAACTACGGAGTTGGGCTACAAAACTGCTGAGCGGGTAGCTATTTAAAGCAGCGGCTACATTGAATGACTACATTTTCGGCTCATTTGGTGGCATTGCAACAAAATGGCCACAATTACGGACCACCTTAGTGAACAATGCAACAGCATCAGTGAGCTGGCTTAGAAGGCTACATCTGCGGTAGCGCAGACCATTTGCTCATATGTCACGCACCACAGTATGCACAGTTTCTCTTTATCATCGGTGATTTTTTCCGGCCTGTTGTCTGCGAGCATTACAACTCCGCTTGGACGTGGCTCATCGCCCAGTCCCACAGACCTCCTGAGTCGGCCTCCCACCCAGTCCCACAGGTCCCACAGACCTCCTGAGTCGGCCTCCCACCCAGTCCCACAGGTCCCACAGACCCCCTGAGTCGGCCTCCCACCCAGTCCCACAGGTCCCACAGACCTCCTGAGTCGGCCTCCCACCCAGTCTCACAGGTGCCACAGACCTCCTGAGTCGGCCTTCCACCTACTTCGCTGTAGCGCACTCCCATATACCTCCTAACGTGTGTGTGTGTGCGTGTGTGTGTGTGTGTGTGTGTGTGTGTGTGTGTGTGTGTGTGTGTGTGTGTGTGTGTGTGTGCGTGTGTGTGTGTGTGTGTGTGTGTATGTGTATGTGTGTAAGGACACGGGCGTGGGCGTGGGCGTGGGCGTGGGCGTGGGCATGTGTGTATGTGGGCGCGCGTTTGTGTGGTGTCATTCAATGTCCGTCATACATTCATCATCCACTTTCCGTCCCGATGGCGCAGTTGGTTAAAGCGCCTGCCTCCCGATCCACCCACCCGTGGAGGGATAGATTCGAGTCGCTTTGGGCGCTCACTATTTGCCATTGATCGGGATGTTTGCGGCCAGTGATAGTGGCTGTGCCAAAGGTCAGATGACGTCAGAGGGCAGGGCGGACCGTGCTGAACACTGTGGCAGGCTAAACTTTCGCCTCAGAATGCTGCCGTTAACCTGGAATTGCGCGATCCGATGGTGGAGGTCAGGGATCACACAACAAGGACTGCTTAGCGTGAGTCTGATTCCATAAATCCATCCATTCAAGGGGTTCGAAAAATATTTATGAAAAATACTTTCATGTCTGCCATGGGTCAGATCGGAAGTGTCTTTGGTGGGTTTTCATCACACGGCACATTGTAAATATGCAGCTTGCCCAGCAACTGCGGGATGCTTCGGGCATAATCGGCAGGTGTCAGATCTGACCAAAACATCAATGTCTCATCCTAATGATGTTTCGCGATGGATTATATAAGGTATCTTATTACACACTCCCTCCAAAATGTTTCCTCGCGCGCATCTGCATTGCTGGAGATGAACACTGCCACTGACATGCCATCCTGGGGCACAGCTAACCACACGATTATTCGGCGGAGAAACTTAAATTCCGAGTCAAACTTGACGCTTGTTGGCTTCTGGACATTAACTGAAGTCTAGCACCTGGCATTCCCAGGTGCCGTGGAATTGTTGATGGAAAAATAACTTCCTTCCTCCATTTTGATTCTGACATCCTTTCCAGCTGTTGAAAGCTCTGGTTTGCTTACAGCCGCGGAGTTTGGCACACTTGTCTGCGGTGTTTTGGATAGCTGTTTGCCTTCTCCCGAATATTTGCTCTAAACTTTTCGATCCATTTAACCACATGCCTCCTACTCATTTCGACTGTCCTGGCCTTCTTGCGAGTGCTGACTCCCACCACCTTGTCCGTCGCATACCGCAGGAGCGTCCACTGCTTGCCGGGGCTATCTTCAGGAGGTACGAGTGCTACAAGCTTCGTGTTTTGTGCTTTCTCATAATTTCGTATCACTTAGCTCTCGAGAGACGGTAATTGAGGTTAATCTTATTTTCGATAAACAGAACAGTGCATATCTTTTTACCGCATCGAAATAATCGTTAAAAATCCTAGTTGTTCGCACTTCTGACCCTCCATTACTCGCAGATAGCACGAAAAAAATCATATGTTATGAACCTGCAGATGCAGTTTCCTCTGGCACTTTCCTTGGCATCAAAATAATGCAGCTATTTGGTTGTTCGCACAAGCGATACACATGGGAATTTGTCTTATTGGTTAGGGTTTGCTCGTTATTTGGTACTCTCAGAGCTGATACTGCGCCGCGGGCAGTATCGGTACCTTCACATTTATGCGGTGTGAATACTTTAGAACGAGGGCATAGATCAGAGACCTGACATGGCAGAAAATCAAATTTAATTCATGGATGGAGTATATGATGGTCAAAACACACAGCAAGCAAAATAATTTTGGGGATGGTTGGAAAAGCCAAGGGTCTGGTCTCGCCTTCAACCATTTGCCAGGGAAGGCATCTGCACCATATCATTCATTGCCACCCCTGCATTTCATAAAGACCTGCTCTTCGAAGGCGTGTTGCATTAAAGAAAGTTATGTTTGCACGTGTAACCCGTTCTCATGTAAAAAAATCGCCGATAGCTCTCGCCCTTATAGAGAAGAGTGGTTGATGCAACACCCGCTCTCAAGGTTTTCGGAAGATACCTCTGCGAATGCCGTGCAATCGCGC